TGCTCGGCTCCCTGAGTCGCATCAGCGCAGCTCGGGCTTCACTCAAAAGATGGTTTTCAGAGAGCGTTACGCCATAAGCTCCTTTAGATCAAAGACGCCTCGTTTGTCACAGCGGGGACACTCTGACCCGACCGGCTGATGTTGGGTTGGTGCACTGCATCACTGTTCCCACACAACAAGTGGACCAGCGTTCCCTTTATTCATCAGCCTCCGACAGGCTACGCTGATGTGAGTCATAGCAGCGTTTTCAGAGAAGCCAGCAGCAGGAGAGGGCGAGGAGACTTTAAGACTTTGGTTCAGCGGGCTTTTGGAAGCGAACAGATCGGTCACTAGGTGTGAGCGGGCAGTTCGCTCACACAGCGCGGTGGCTCGGCCTCATTCTGGCAGCAGCTGAGAGATTGGCCGGCTGTGGGGGCCAATGGGGGGGCTCGCTCTGATCCGAGCAACCTCCCAGACAGGCCCGATAAGAAATACAGCGGCTTTAATGCGGCTTCCGCGATGAAAAAGTACGATATCTACTTAAGACGTTAAGAGTGGCGACTTGCTGGATCAGAAGTTAAAGCGAGATGTGAGGAGCCGGTTCTGCCAACAGAGCCACGGGCTGCCAGGGGCTGGTCAGGGGCTGGTCAGGGGCTGATCAGGGGATGCTCAGAGTGCGTTTCACTGACAGTTGGATTCAAACAACTAGAACACCGTCATCGAGTTACCGGGTCCCTCTCAAACCACATAACAGCTTTAATGATGGCTTTTTCCCTTTGAAAAAAACAACAACTGTACTTTAAAAACTGTGGCTGTTGTTAGTCCTTTTCATAAAATTACATTTAATACTGCGCAGATGTGTGTGCCTTCTATACAGCATCAGGAAATCAAAAAGGCTTTCAGGCTCCTGATAATAATTCAGCATAGGGTCCCACTTTGCACAATAAGAAACAGGCCTTAAAACAGTCTGTATTTCACGTTGGAGTTGAAATTGTGAAACAGTTACATTGCGTGCATTGGCTTTAAAGTGGTACCTTGAGCCTTTTTTGGGTCTGGGCCGACCTTTGACACTTGCAACAGCTTCTGCTGGTGGCGCTGTATTCTCCATAAACAAACTTTAGCCGGACGGCTGAGAGCAGATTTGGGCAGATCGTTTTGTAATTAAAGCAAGCGCACCTTAAGGCCCTGGCAGGGGGGAAACCTCACAGGAGCGAGCTTAAAACTCTTCCTAGTGATTTATTCCCTCCCTCAATCTGTCACTTTCAATCAGGAAAAGGCTCCACTTCTCCCTCTGTTCCTCTTCACTCCTCACCTCGGCGAGCTCCGCCCTCCCTTCCTCGCAGCACCACTCCAATCCCTTTCCTGCCGACATCCGAGTGGAATTCAGCCAGCTCGTTGGGGCTATAATGGACCCCTGAGTACAGTGACATCTTAGTCCAGCAGCATGTCGGCGCTACTAAAGACCCTCTCTTACTAATTACACTAATTACAACAGGATTAAAGAGGAGCTTTTTGCTCGCGAGCGTCGTCTCCTCGGATACGGACCGACAACATCGCAGGCTACCGGCATATCTGCTATTGATTAGGATCTGCAGCTCATGCGTTCAAACAGCTTCCACACGTAAACACACCTGAGGCGTTTTCAAACGTACGGCGGCGAGAGCCAGCTCCAACTGTCATGTTTCTATTCTGGGGGTCTCCGTGTGCGTGTTCACACTCTGCATCCGCTCTCGTCTTTCAGTCTGTCCTCCCTCTGAGGCAGGTGGGGCTTCACAGTGTGGATGACACATTCACTACCTGATCTTTCGCACATACAGGGATTCTTTTTTGCAGCTTCCTCCCACAGACCACCGAAACGGTTCCCACGCACGCGTCCTCCATTCAAAACTACATTCAGAGGGGGAAATAAAAAAAAAACAGCCCAAACGTCTGAGAATTCAAAACATAGCCGGAACAATTTCAAAACAAGGTTGCGGGCCGCACCGAAATCCCACTGATGAGATCTTTGTCTTTGGGTGTTGGAGAGCCATAAAGTGAGAGGGCACTTAGCCAAGAGGAAAAGGCCAGAGGAGAGAAGGTTCTCATGCATCTGGAACCAAAACAAACAAAGCGGGCCGGCAGCACAGCAGCCAGCAGCTGCTGATAGGGGGTTATCTCTGCGGTCACACACGGGCCGGCGCACAACAATGAGCCCTGTGCAACTGGAACGGCCTCTGCAGCGCCGCAAACACAGCCTGCACAGAGCGAGCCACCCCGCAGGATCTGTCTGACAGAGAGGCAGAGACATTAAAAGTCTTCTCAGCGCCTGCGTCGGGGTTCAAAGCCTTCTGACTGATCCGACACATTCACCAGCTGCCGTCTTACCGCTTACTGACATTTGTCATGTTTTGATCTTTTTTTTTTTGCCCACGAATAAGAACATCTCATCTCAGGAAAAACGCAGCCGGGCTGACACAAACGCAGAGAAATGCAGACGACCTCGCACCGCGCTCGATCATCTTCGATTTCTCCTCTGAAAAGGGGAGAAAAAACAAAAAAGCAAGACTGAAGACACAAGCACTCAAAAGCCGGGCGGCTGAATCGATACCAACGGTGTGACATCCATCACACAACACAAAAGTGTTGCTCTATGACAGAAGTGGCAGATAAGCCCATGTGTTTTGCAAACGGACTGGCTGGAGTGAAAGGGGATCCATCCAGAGCAGTGTTTAGGTGTTTTCAAATGTGCATCTGGGGAGAAGGACAAATCAATTCTCGCTGGCTGTTGGCCAAACGTCCCCGTGCCTTCAGCCAGATATTAAAACCACACACTGCCTCCACTGCAGAACCTCACCACAAACTAGAGCCTGTCACAGGCAGCTGGACAGAGATTAAATCCCTGCCGCGCGTATGTGGCCGGCAATTAAATGCAGATGTGTTTAGGTTGCTACCCAAATGGAGGGGCCCCGCCGGGTCCTCTGTGGTGCTGGTGTCGTCATGACGGCCTGATTACAGGGAGCGCACTGTAAACTATGGCTCCTATCTCATTAGTCCGAGTAACTCTGCCTGGGTTGCCACCCACAGGAGATCCTCCCAAACCCGCAGGAGAACACGATGCCCCTCCAAAGCCGGCTGGGACCGGGCACAAACGGGAGCACGGACACACACACACACCAACAAACAGCAAAAACTCGCACTCATCCGCAGACACGAGGGCGTCTTCGGCACTAGATGCACGGTCGACGGCACCGCTCTGCGCGGCTCCTCCTAAAAAGGGCCCCGGAGGAGGAGATTTCTGGCCCTGCTACAAAGCGGGGTTTCCCCACAGGGACGCTCCATGAGCCTGCAACGGAGCGAGTGGTTTTCGGGTGACCTGCATGACTACTAATATAGCTCCCGCCAATGTGAAGCAGATGCAGCCGCGCAACAGCCTCACAAAAGCCAGGCTGGAGGCCCACACGGGAGTTATCTCCGTTTGTTTTGTTTTTTTTGGGAATCGATGTGATGACCCGGCTGATGTTCGCGTGTCTTTGGGAGAGGGGAGGAAGGTCCAGAGGACGAGCAGAAAAGGAGGTAAATGAGGCAGCAGGGATCAGATATGCCGTCCGTCAGAGCTCACCGTGACAGGTTTATTCCAGCCAGGGCCGAAGGCAACACAGCGAGCGGCACGGTGAGGAGTGATAAATGTCAGGGTGAGGTCCCGCGCCGTGGTAATGGCTGACAAACGCCTCAGCGGCTCATCTCACAGCCAGTCCAACCCAGACACGTGTGCTGGTCTTCATTACACTCCGTTTGAGGGGAAAACACCACCGACAGGCGCAGGCACTGAGTCTGTTACATGCAGCCCTTACCCAATAAAGTTGTCCTCGGAACAGTATGCATCCCTCAAATGAAGCTCCAAGCCCCCTCACACGCTCTTACAAAATCATTTTATAAACAGCTAATCCCTCACTAATTTCCAAAAGTATCGTTTTACAGGCAAGAGCACATGTTTGTCCCACTGTAAGCCATTTGGAAAAGCTGACTGCGTAACGGGACAGACTCAAGCTGCTCCACATTTCAAGGAACATTTCAAGCAAATTAGCCATTGCAAATGAATAAAAAGGGGACACGGTGCAGGTCCGTGCAGTGCGAGGTCACCTTCTGTAAATCCCATGTGAATCTCCCCGTGCCACGTGATGCCATTATATAACATCTACAAATACAGTAGGAGCCCAGTGCTAACTGCAAGGGGGTTTCATTGTTTGCGCTTCAACTCACCAATGATAAACATTTATTTTCACTGCTTATATGATCCCTACTGAGGAGGCCTGGCTTTTCTCCAGAGCTGGTCCTAACATATTTCTCTCCCATACCTGTGTCTTTTTTAATGCCAGTAACCGCACGAAGGTGAATCCACACAAACACACAGACAAGCGCAGACAGTGTGTTGAGTCTCGGTGAGGAACAATGACAACATCTGGGCACACTTAAAACGCCATCAGAGAGAACTCCTGCTGATCAAACAGAGGTTGTGCTGAGAGGAATATTCAGATTCAGGAGTGTATTCGGTTATAATGTTTACACTAGCAAATCAATCCTTTGGTTGGGATAAGACCAGCCTCATGGTGTCTCACAGACCCAACCTTAAACCAGCAGAAACCTTTTGCTTTCCAATTGTTGAACGAACAGAAATAATGAACCGGGCACAATAGCTGTTCTGAGTTACGGCACCTAAAGCGAATACAGCGCATGTTGACCTTTGGCAAGGTCCTGGCACCATGATGCTTGGGTATGAAATTATAACTTACTGTACTTTTTGTCACAAAAGTGCTGTGTATTGTGTTTGGTGTAGCACCTCTAAACCCTCCCAGGGGCTCATCCATACGCAGACAGGGCCCTCAGAACTGAAAAACTCTGTTGTAAACCATCCCAAAGTTGTCATATGACAATATATGCAGTCTGTACAAAAGAGCATTCATCGATACGTTCCAGACACGAAACCCGCGAGCTATACGACTGCAATCTCATCCATGTCAGTAATTTGCTTGGTTTCTAAAGACTCAGGCGTCTGCGCCCGCAAGCAGGAAGTTGGCACGGGTCTTACCGGTGTCTTGTCGAAACTGGTGCATGGACTGCAGGTCGATGATGTAAGGGGACAGCTGGGCGTCCACCTGCCCGAGGACCACGCTCCCTCTGGCATCCCCCTTCAGCACGTTCTCGATGTGGTGGCACACCGCCGCAGTGTACGGCCTCCAGCGCCCGTGTTCGTTCAGCCACTCCCAGACCACCACCCGGGCCAGGTTCTGAGGGGGGTACCCCAGTCCGTTGCTGGGCACCAGCATTCCGGACCCCGGCCGGGCCATCTCCTCTGCGGGGGCTGCTTCTGCGTTGCTGGCTGTGTCCCGTGCCGGACTCTGTCAGTCAACTGACCCACCGGAACATTTTTTTTTTCCTCAGCCCCCAAACAGAAACAGCTTGAATCGGCAAATCGGTTGGAGCAGTCCTCAGTTATCTCATGCTGCTTTTCAAGAAAACAGCTCGACTGTGGCCGTCGTCGTCATTATTGGCAGGCCCTTTTCTGACTGGTTCCACTCCGGTGAGCCCGAGGGCAGCCTCTGCGCCGGGGTGTCTGGTCCTGCGTTTGAAGTGACAGATGTTGTTGATGATGATGATGATGAGAGCTGCAGCCGTAGGAGTCTCCGTCCTGCACAGCCAACCACAGCAGATCTGCAGCAGGTAGACAGGAAGCAGGCAAGCACAGATACGCCGGTAAACAAATGCCCCGATTTATCCCCTGGTTAATTTCAGGTCATTCCATAGGAGAGGGTACAAATCTGATCTGCTCTGTGCAGCAATGACCATTAGTGATACGGAGAAACTTCAAATTTAAATAAACTGTGTGAGCCTCTGAACTATTTCACAAACAAAGGGGAAAACATGCAGATAAAATTAAGTACCAGGTTACATTTCAGATATAATACACAGATATACTGAAACGCATACAGTGAGATGCGATGTTGTTTTGATAAAATCAACCATCTATGATAATCAATCTAATCCCTGATTTTGACTGATTTTAGAGGCACACACATCATCTCTGGATTCGTTTTCGATACAGACCTGTAGGTAGCAATAGTGGTACCAAACATCAGTTAGGTAAACGCTGCATCTTTCAGGCTTTGGACGAAAGGGGGTTGGGGGGTGGGGGGGAGACGAGGTTCACATCTCAAAACACATCTCTTGCCTTTTCACATCTGTAGCGTGGACGCTCTCTTCTTACGGCGAGTGGAAGGGTCCTTCTAAAACTGCGCCTGTGCCATTCATGACAGGAGACCGAGACGTCGTTTCATCCTGCGAATCTGAATCTGCTCCCAACTACAGCCGCTTGTTGGTCCGCTGCCCGGGTTGCACGGTGCGCAGGGACTGAGCTGCAGCGCTCCGCAAAGATCCGCACGGATCCGCACAGATCCGCACGGTTTGGCACGGCTCGGCACGGCTCCGTCTCCCTCTCTGGAGCCGAATAGCCCACGGTCACACTGTGCGCACCAGATCCTGGCGATACCGGGGATCAATTCCCAAGCACACCTGTATGCACGGCCATCAAATCCGACCAGTATCTCAATATGATGAGGAAAAAAGTTGCAACTTCCGGTGTCAGGTTTCAAAATAAAACCACGAGTGGAGCAGAGCGGACAAACAGGACCATTTTCGACCAAGATCATTAATCAAATCTCATGCAAACAAATTGACATAATAAGAAACCATTTCTCTGCCTCGAGCATCTTGTTTGGAAGACATCTGCCGAAGAGGATTAGACAAGACAATAAACCTGCATATTAGGGTCAGTCACACATAGACACCATGTAATGGGAGCCTGCAGGGGTCTGTGGAGGTCCCTCACACTGATAAACGAGCATGCCACGGATATTTAGAGGCAGCTTTGATATCCACCGTCTTGTTTTTTTGCAAATCAATAACAGCAGTTGTAAAGAAGAAGGTTACCTTGAGTAGATTAGGATCAGATGAGGCCATCAGGGCTAAATGGAACAACCCTGTGTCTCTTCTACTCTAAAGTATTAGTTTGGCAGGGGGGTGCCACTGTCCATTATTCTATCCTCTTGATTGCTGGTCTCAAACACTTATTGATCTGCATCACCCAATCACTGCCAGGAAGAGTTGTGATATTATTCTTTATTGTGATGACACTATTTGATATGTTTACATCAAAAGCCACATGGTTTAATACATTGTCAGTCATTATTTATATGGTTCATGTTGATCTCACACCTTTGACTGATGTCAAGGTATGTACGATGTGTATAGGTAACAAACCAAAGGGAAAAACAATAATATGGGTGTTTACGGCGTGTTGGGGAATCATTTCCGACCTCGCCACTTTCACTGCACTTTGGCTATGAGAATTTATTTTGAACTGCAGCTAGAAAAGGATTTCCAAAAATCTTGAGATCACAATAACAAGTGAACCTTATTTAAGAGGCTAACTTGTTCAAAGGTAAATTATTCCGCTCTGTGAAAGTGGTCTTTTGAACCAAAGCGAAGAGACGGAACACCACAGAAGGAAAAAATGGGCAGACTTATCGGGCCAAAATCCTCTCTTAGGTAAGAGGTGATGATTCACAACATTTTTAAACCTATCAAATCATTTGCTGACACCCCATGTGGTATCTACGGTGACCCTTAAATCTGAAAGCCACCAAACCAAGTAAGCAAAATGCCAATTCAGCGTAATGGCTCCCTCAGCAGAGTGGTGAAAGGTTCAGATGTCTCATTTAATTTGTCACCTGTTTGAATGTGAGGAAGAAGGCTGAGCAACTGAACGGAACATCAGAGTCATCTGCTGCCAAAATAAGGGTGGAGAGAAACAGCGCCTGTGGCACTTCCAGAGGACAGGACTCTTCTGAGATATGAAGCTTTTCCTCCCCGCTCTTACATAATCATCTTGTCACGCTGATTATTTCCCTCCAAAAGGATAGAACTGATTCAAAGCAGCCTTTCACAAAATGTCAAATCTGCATTGACAGCTAAAAGACTGTAATTATACTGTGAATCTTTTTATCACCTTTTTTACTGCCTGCAATCATTTTGAATTAGACTGAAGTCACAGAATCACGATCTGCAAACACAGAAAGGGTTTTTAAAGTGACATGAAAACATTTCTGAGCTGCATGTTGCATTATAATCTATCTGGCCATCGTATGATCAATCTGCTTTAGTTTAGTTTTAACTTCTATTCTGTAGAGTTAACAGCACCTTTAAATGTTGCATGTATCATTTCCGACTTGCTACACTTTACAACATGAGGGAAAATGTGCTTTCAGTCAAACAATTCATGGAAAGAATCTCATCTATGAATTGAATTCTAAACATGTGTTTAGATCAATATCAACATAGAATATTGTCCCAATAAAAATGATCACATCAGGGGATTTTAAGGCTAACTTCTTTGTAATTTGTTTGTTGGAGTACTCAATCAACACACTGCATTGTTCCAAACACACAACATCATATAAATTCTGCCCCAATAGACAGCCTTGCTTTTGAACTTACTTACTATATGGCCAACACTGGGCCCCCTTTTCTATCTGCCGGTCAGTAAAATGGTATATCTACTGTAGTAGGCTGTGGAAAGTCAGTCCAGCCTTTTAAAGCACCTCCAATCAGTGACTTGTGTAACAGCACCATCAGGTGGACTGTTGGTATTAGTGTGAAAATACAGAGTAGGACGGAACGTCACATCAACAATTTAACAGCTTTCCAATCCGGTTACTACTAAACTACTGCTCAGTTTTTTGTAAACTGTTAACCATCTGTGAAAATACTGACACGGGGGGATAGTATTCTCACGAGGGCTGTTATCTTGTATGCATATGTATGGGTGGGTCCACCAGTCTATTGGTCAACTGATCTGGTCAACTGAGAGACATGGATGAAAAATAGATTCCACCCCCACACATACAGACTAACAAAACATGTCTGGCTTTTTTTTTAAAACTTATACAGGTCAGTTTCACAATGAGGAATGTCAGGACACCTGGTTTCCTGTAAAGATTATCAGATTAATTCATTATGGTAACAGAAAAAGACATGGAATCTTCCCAAAACACTGGCATCTTGTCTGTAGAGATTTTAAGATTACATTCTAGATAGTGTTTTATTTGTAGTAAAGGCAAATTAGATGACAACATTGCATTCAAAGGGTAAAAGAGGCTTTGGGAAATCTGACTAGACACTTTTACTAAACGCATACAAGGATTCCACTGGCTCAACACTAGGAGGCAAAATTATGATTCTTCAAATAGAAGTGAAAGAACATCTAAACTCTTAAGTGAGTTATGTATGTTTCTGAGGAATGTTTTACCTGTGTGTAAAAGTTAACATGGAATCTACGAGCATGAAAACACAATACAAGTAGTTGTTTACAGCTTGATTTAAATTCATGTTCATTAATCAGTGGAGGAATTTCAATTTAGACCATGCTGCTCTTGCATCATCAAAAATTCCTTTTTAACTTTCAGGTAATCTTTTAAATACATAAAGAATGCACTCAGTTATGCAGCCCTAAAAGACATGCCAAGGCATTTGTAGCCTGTGTAATTATAAAATCTGTTGTTGTAGACTTTGATATTGATAGACGTGAGGCATTTGGATCGAAATAGTGTATTGGAATCAACTATCAACCTTCAGACATCATCCTGCTTGCAGAATCCTTTTTTCTGCTGGATGTACAGCATGAAAAAAAAACCTTAGGATAAAAAGAAGAAGTACCGCTTTGCAGCCCAGTTCACAATTTAAATTTATTTGCGAGTCCATATGCAGTGCAATATCTATACATGTATAAAATCCCAATATTCTCATAATAATTGAATGTTCATTTCATCAGAAAACCTGTGTTATTAAATTTGCAAACTCTGTGACAAAAAAACAAACAGTTTCATGGTGGTTTAAATACATCCCTTCATATAAAGCAGCTCCATATTTTATTTATTAAAACATGCATTTAAGAAATATGACAGCTGCCAGTTCTGTCTCTGTGAAAACTGAATGATTTGATTCATACTCATCACTTTTATATAAATATACAGAAGAATATACAAGATCACAGTCTTTTGGACATTTGAACAGTGTAACTAAAGTTAAGATGATTCAGTAAAAACATCCCTGTGAGATACGATGATTCACACAACATGGAAATTACAAAGAAAATTATAAAACATCATAAACAAGCAACAAATATGTTGTTTTTTTTGTACAAGTATTTAAGCATACAGTCCGTGAGTTAAACTGACGGTGTAACTGAACAGCTCACAGAATGACATAAATGAAGAGAGCCATGATGGCAGCACTGATCAGCCCAGAGATAGGAACTGTAACAAACCAGGCGATGAAAATATTTCTGAACAGACGCCAGTCCACCGATTTCCGGGAGCGCAGCCACCCCACCGCCACCACAGATCCCACCTGTACACGTGTGTTAATTAGCAAAAGTGCCAATGGGTGAGAACAAAGTCCTTTCATAACATGGGAACTTTTTTTTAAAACATGCAGAGTAAAGTTTCACAGACAGTAATTTCAGTACCTTGCAGTGGGTGGTGCTGACAGGAAGTCCTATGTTGGAGGCAACAACGACAGTGACAGCAGAAGCCAGCTCAATGCTAAATCCACTGCAGGGAAACAAACACGTGTTATGGTTTGACAATATGATGCGTTCTTAATTACGCCGACACAAGTCATGGCTGCGTGTCGTACCTGGACGGTGTGATCGGGGTAAGGTCTTTTCCCAAGGTCTGGATCACTCTACGACCCCAAACCCAGAGTCCGGCGCAGATTCCCACGCCGCCGTACAGAAGCAACCAGATGGGGGTGGGAGCATTGGAAACCACGGAGCCGCTGTCATAGAGGAGCCAGAGAGCCACCAAAGGGCCGATGGCATTGCTGGGGATGAAAGTAAAATCTAAATAGTCTGAACCACTAAACATTTGCAAATTCCTCAGGAGATAGCCGTGTTTGCTCACCTGACATCGTTTCCTCCATGAGCAAAAGAGCCAAAGCACGCTGTTAGAATTTGCAAGAACTGGAACAGGGAGGCAACGGCAGGCTGGTCGACTTCCAGCTCGTCCTCCTCCTGGGCGAGGGTCCCGCCGGCCTCTGGAGTCACGCTCCCGTCCTGGACTGCGCTGGCGTTGGTTATTGCCGAGCTGTAGCTGCTGTAACTGTCCACCCGGGATCTTCTCTGCGACCCGCCGTCCACATCCCTGTATTTGGGATCTCCCGGAATGCCGTATATGGCCATGGTGTAGGAGGTGTAGCTGTTGTTCCGGCGCATGGGCCGCTCCTCGGTGTCGCCGTCACCGATGCAGTCCCCGACTTTGGCCATGTGGAGCTTGTGGAGCAGGTCTTTGTAAAGGCCAGAATCTTTGTGGATGGTGTGGGAGCGTCCGCTGTGAGGATCGGTGATCATCATGGAGCCAAGCGTGCCATTAAGCCCTGTAAATGTAACATTTTTTTGGGGGGGGAGAAAAATGAAGGTAATGTCTTTGTCTCTTTTAATGTGTCTTTGTAAACATGACCCTCAAAGTTTAACGTTTTTGCATTTACAGCAACTGCAACAGGGTTCATTTATGCATTTTAAGCTGTTAACCTCTCACCATTTGGCATATCCAGGTCTTTGGTTTCCATGTCAGTGTTTAAGTCGGCTTCTTCTGAGCCTCCAAGTTTAAAAGCCACCATCTGGCTGTCTTCAGGGGGGGTCTGGGATTGAGGGAGAGATGGAAATGGGGGCTGGTCTTGTCGTGGCGGTTTTTGGGAATGTTTCTCCATTAGTGGAGTTTCACACGGAGCAGCAGCTGTTTCACCTGATTCACAACACAGCCAGAGGTGAAGGAAGCACCTACATACATTTATATATGTATATACGTATCAATTGACATTTACTCACGTTTAATTTTCTTCTTGAGGCGTGGACAGACAACAAACCAAACGGCTAGAGCAGTGACGACGGCACAACCCAAGGAAATACACAGAGTACCCCACCACGGCACTTTGTCAAAACCCAACACTGAGCACACAAGACAAGGACAGGAGAGAGAACTCTGTCTGAGATAAAGGCCAACCGAACAATAAGTGTGCATTTCATTTATTCACCACACAGCCTGAGTCATTGGAGAATGAGAAAAAAGAAAAGTCAGTTGATCTACCCCCTTTGTTTAAAATCCTAACATCTTTTGAGCCAGCCTGGTTACAGTGTCATGTAATCTGCCCCTTCTCCTCTAATTGGATGAGTTGTTGTCATGCGATTTGTGAAAAAAACTATACTCATGTCCTAACAGTCTGCACCACGTGCCTTTTTTCACTACAGTATCAGTGACAGGACACACTCTTCCAGTCAGATAGAGAGCAGGAGGCAGGTCTTGCAGCACAGTGATAAGATTTCTGTTGACTTTTAACTAAGTGTCTTTTCATAATGTTCACACTCTGGCTCTAAGATGCTGTTCGTGTTTTTCTTTACATTGGGGATGGCAGAACCTGCATGTTTTTGTTGTAAATAACTGGACATGAAGGGGGTGGGGTCGACTTTAAGGGTGTTACTGACTGCAACATCAACATGAACCCTGACTGGCCTCAAATATCAGCTCTGCGAATGCATAGTCATCTCTGAGTGACAGATACTTTGTTGGAAAAAATATGTTGGGAACTTGCATGCAAGGGCAGTATAAGAAGTGCGATCTACTCTGTGCTATAATTTTACAAAGTAGGGGTTTTTTGGTAATCTCCTTTGAGCCACCACCAGCGTGCAGCCTTCATTGAAGGACCCAGGACAGTTGATCTCTTGATAAGTTCAACCCTGCAAAATGAAACACAGGGGGATGGAAACTTTCTATTTGATATCCATGGACCTAATGAGTTTGTTTCTTTAATTTTATTTGTCTTTCTTTTTGTTATTCTATGATACTAGACAGTTAACTGGGCAAATATCATTATTTCTTCAAAATCAGCTTTGCTTGCATATTCCATTTAATGGTCTCCTTTTTGCTTGCCTGTCATCGGCTCCTGTGACCTTTATTCAACTCACCCCAGCGGTTTTATCAGATTCTGTGGTTGTTTAGCACATAATGTGACAGTTAAAAAGGAAATACTGGTGTTTTAAGAGCACTTGATACTCACTTGGAGCTCCTGTAAACATGATGGAGAAGAGGTTGATGCCCATAGTGATGGCGTAGAAAACAGGAAGGGCTTTCAGTCCATTGGGCACAGGGTCAGCCTAAAACAAAGCGTGGTCTGTGTTACATGTATCATACTTTGCGGTGTCACTAGAAGAACAGACATTTACTTTTAAAGAGCTCTTATTATGCTCCTTGATGTTTTATATAATGTGTAATGCATAATGTTAAATAGGTTCACAAAATGCAAAAGCAATGAAGCTTTTCTTTTTTGTATACATTCAATTACATTGCAGCATCTTTGCCATTCTGGGTCCAAATATCCAGCAGACAGGTATTACAAATGTGTTAGATCATAATGTTGTGGTTAAGTAAATCAGCTTCAGCACATTCAGTGTCTTCTTTTGGAAATAATTTCTCCCCTAAACCTGTACCTTTGACTTTGAATTTAGTTTGGGTGCATGAATTTAGCTCTACTACACATTGACAGAAAAAAGCATGATCTGAATTGTTTTAACTTCTAACATGACTTTATTAAATACTTTTTCAAGTAGAAGTTGATTTCGCTGTAATTTTGCATATAAGCCCATTGACCTGTTTGGTCAGGCTGGCAATGTCACTATTAATCTCATCTGTCACATGTCCCCTTTGCAGGAACTCAAAGACTAATATAGCAGTGAAACTATTCTTATAACTGCACAAATTAACACTATGAATTAAATAAAAAAATTGTTATTAATATATCTCTGTTCCTGGACACTCTGTTTCAGAAAGAGTATCTCTGATACTTTTCAATACTTTAAGATCTCCTGTTCACACCCAACCTTTGTTTAGGTATCAATATAGTTTTCAGACTGGTTAAAAGGTTTCTTTGTTGTTGATTTAAAAGGTCACACACAACAAACAAAAATAGCTCTTGCCTTGCTCAGAATGAATTTGCGGACAAAATAGAAGAGAATTCCTGACATGATTCCGGACAGTACAGGCGACAGGAACCAGGATGACACTTTAAAAAGACAAAAAAGATGGATAATTGGTTGAGCATTTACTTACTTTTCATGTTCAACAGACTTTTGCTTTCAAAAGAGGAGAGAAAACAACACATATTCACCAATACGTAGTAGTTCCATCCACTTGACACCTTGGTGACCTCTGGCTACTATGGAAAACCCAATTGTAGCTCCCACTATGCAGTGTGTTCCAGAAATGGGGAGCTTTAGGAAAGATGCGGCCAGCTGCCAGACAGCAGAGCCTTGTGCACAAAAACAATAGCAATCCTGTGTTAACAACATTTCAATTCACATTATCATTCATGGACACCAAGAAGACATTTCTGTGTGAACACTCACCAAACATGGCACTTATTGATCCCGCCATCAGGACGTGCTCTGAGCCATTGTACATCCTCACGTCGATGATTCCCTTCCTGATGGTCTCACTGACTTTGGCCCCCAGCAGAACCGATCCCACGGTCTCAAAAATAGTGGCCAGTATGCAGGCCTGACGCAAAGTGACCACTCCCGAGCCCACCGCCGTACCAAAGGAATTGGCCACGTCGTTGGCTCCCACAGAGAAAGCCAGAATGAAGGCAATTACGAAGCCCACTACCAACAGCCACAAGTAGCTGGACATGTCGGACTGAGAGGCCAGAGCTGCGGTGGTGGCAGCGGTCAAGGTTGCTAGTGTAGCTGTATCCATCTCTAATTGGATATGACTATATTCAACAACTGAAAACAGACTCGAGCCAAACTAATCTGCTGACAATAACTTTTAAGTGATGTATGTGTTAATAATCAAATATCTATAATAACAATGAACCAAGAACCCTTTAATTCAGATCTAAAAGCATTCAAATTAAAAGGATTTCTAATTATTGCTAGCTGGGTATACAGGGTTTTTCTGTGGGCTTTATATAGAAATGAGGGAGTATAAGAGTGGGAGAGGCATCCATTGTGACAGATCGCTTCTGATGATGCACACTGCAAAGAGACAGAAAACCATGTCCTCATGGGAAGTACACCTTGGCACAAACAAAAGCTAATCTGAGTAACATATTAACAAGCAGCAACTACCTGACAACGCAGCACCAATATGCTCGGCACAATGTTGATTTACAAAGCTATAGAAAAGGGAACTGGTTCTTCTTTATTGTCAGCTTGGACATTTTAACACACTGCTGTGATTAAGATCTCAGTTTTGTTTTGTGCAAACATGACACTGGTGAACAACGTGCCCCAAAGATACTGAGCACATACTGGAGAGGAGAGTTCTAGTTAATGTTGTGACAAAAACAATTTGGAGATTTACATGGAAATAACAACAGCAAGCATTTTAATGCTGGAATGATGTGGCACATAGAAAGTACACTGAGGTAGAGAGTGGAGTATGCTAAGGCTTTTGCTCTGTCAGAGGCATTAGAATCCTGAATGAAGTTGTCATTTTTATGATATACTATTTTAAGTGTATCCCCGGCCCCTTGGTTTTTAGAATTGGGATTCTAGGCAATACTATGTAAAATGGTTGTAAATTGGTGAATGTGAAAATGAAAGTGCAATTAAATGTGCACACCCCTCGCATAGTAGGAAGAAATTGCATTTGGCCATTTCTAATGACCCCTAGAATCCAACTTGCACATTACAATCAAATAAATCCACTTAAAACTTCAAAAAGAGACTTTTGAGCCACAAATAATTGGCCCATTCAGCACCGTTGGCAAAGAAATTCTGACCAATCTCACCATCATGATGGAAAACACTGGCATGTTAATCCCCTTAGTTGGTCTTGCATAATTCAAATGAAGTGACAACACAGAAGAAAACCAAAATACGTTTTTAAAAAAAGTTTAAAAAGTCACTTACATGTACGGACAGAGAGTTTTCTTCTCAGCGACGTGGTGTCCTCTGTTCTCAGAGTGTCCTGTTGTGAGGTGTTACAACACTGCACAAATTCAGGGGCAGTGTGAGGAGGGCAGTGCAGTGGCCTGCAGCGTGTGGGGGCCTCGGCTGGAGGTTGGTTTATATATTGAGCTGAGGGAGAACACGCCTTTCCACTCCGGTCATGAGACAGCCGCAGCACAGAGGCTAATGTTTAGCCTGTTTGTTGACATGGAGCAAAAATAATTACAGCTGTATGCTGATTGTGTTGCTTTACCTGATCCTCAAATTGTGTTTTTCTTCAAGCACAATGAGGAAACAGTTGTGGCTTTTGTTTTGGCTAAATGTATCTTTGACTTTCTTTAGGACATTTTTTCAGGTAACAGCAAGATTTTTATTGATGTGCAATCAATATTTTATTCTCTCAATAGTCTAAAAAGTATGAGCAATTATATAAATGATTGCACAGGATCCTTTCACTTCTTGTCCAAATTATTCTTCTCACCTGGCACCACCTGCTGGACAGATATTGCATGTATCAGCCTATTTGACTGACTCTTATATTTCTTTTTTATATCTGATGGTTGTTCCCTGGTGTGGATAAAAAACTCTAATCAAAGAAGGCCGAAGCCTCTCTACTGAATACCGCTCGGTTCAAGATCATGTTCAACAGCACGTAAAGCAGCAATCACAAACTGTGTTACTCATCAACCTGTTACACAAGTCACTCTGCTGAGAAAGTCCAGGAAAGCATCAGGAGGCCTTCGGCGTCAGCAGAACTGAGTCCTGCCCTAAATGCTACAGTGCCCGCGAATCTGCTGATCAGTTCCTCTTCATTACTTATTTATTATTCAGTGACTGTTGGGTGATGTAGTCGGATGTGTGCATAAGTGCCAACCCCGCGGAATATTTTGAACTCTGTAATGAGTGTGACCAGTTGGACCGGAATGAACAACCTGAAATCTAAAGGCGGGAAATTTTCTACTTTGCTTTACTCTGATGGAGTGCCTTTGCATGTCCACATACACAATCTTTACACAATCATTTAATATGAAAGACATAACAAGATAAAGATTTAGTCAGCCAATGGGAGTTAGTATAAATGCGTCTTCCAGGACTTTTCCTCCTTTCTTTAGCATCCCACCCTGGAGACACAACCTCTTATTATGCTAATTCCAGACTTCTTAATCCACTCCTATCTAAATAATTACACTTGTTTGTTGAGGCATCACACCTTGTATACATAGTGTAAAAGAAAAGGGCGTATGTTGCATTTTTATGGCCAGACAATATGAACAGTCACACAAACAAAGTTAAACCAGAATCACCTGTCATTCACCTGCATGACCTTAAACTGTAAGAGGAAACGAGAGCAGCCGGACAGAACCCACACACACAACAAAAAACCTGCCAGATCCAGATGAAAACCTCTGAACAGGACCAGGGGGCTAAACGTTGTTTCAATCCATTTCCATTTGCTGCAGAGGGTTAGGCATTGGAAGCATAACGATATAAGTGTCATTTGAGAAAGCAAAGCTTGCATAAGAGCTCTGAAAATGAATCATGCCCACATACACCACTGAAGATACATTCCATGCAATCATCTTCTCAAGAGATTAGGCCCGTATTTTTAATTGCTTGCATAAAGATTACGGATTTGTTGACGATGATCTAACAAAAAAGGCTCAGAAACTTTCCCAGAATGGCATGACCGATTTTCTGTATTGTAAGACATACTAATTACTGTTGCCATAAGTTAAATGATGTTTTCTGTCATTTTTTAGGTATTCAGTATTGTAATTATCAGTCATTTTTGCCTCATGCATCAATGTGCATTTGTCTTCCAGCCCCTGAGAAGTATGTTTCTTAACGTTCTCATGGTAGTCTAATCTGTAATTCAAACACTCTCGTCTTGGTGGTTCTGTGCAAGCATTCTCAAAAGATAAACACAAACCAATTCATTAAACTTTAGAAATTACAAGGGTTAACCACAGAGTTTATCTTAAAACGGAGGTTGATAATTGTAAACTTTACTTAGCCGAGTAATGACATTTCTTCAACTGCCAGCAATAAAATCTCGCATGACTAAACACGTTAAATCGGACAGCCACAGTTTGTGTGGGGGATAAAAGCTTTTTGAGACAAACAGAGAGCCGTCTCTGAATGATGAGGAGAACAAAATAAAACTCTCTGTATGAAGCTTTGAAAAGTCATTGAGAAATGTTTGTGTTGAAATTGGATTTTAGTGGTCTGCTCCATTCATGGTGCAACATGAGGCCATTTATCACCGCCAATGTGGACTTTTCAAGGTTTACATAAGGGCCTCTAGGTGGCATCAAAGCCCCTATTCAGGTTACACAGGTTGATTTGTAAATGCACCATGTTGAAATACCAGTTTGGAAGTCCTGAGGAAAAATTATCTACAGTTTGGTCAGTTTGGTCGCTCCCGTATGTGTGTACTTGCTACAAGATCTGTGTGGTGTAAACTTTTCTGTTTGGAGAATATAAAAGAAGTTCTGTGAAGATATTTTAACCCATACCATCAATTATATTGGCTTATACATCTTGGAAAGCATTGTAAAAAACACATTATATGACTTTTCCCTCCTAAATCCCAGACTTAAAGCGTAATTCTCAATTGCCATAACATTCAAGGTCACCCAAACTTCTTCAAAATCACCTAACTCTGTGATCTCAACTACTGAAGCTTTGGGGGTTTTCTTAATGTTCCCATTCATATTTAAAATAAAACAAGATAGAACATGCAAATAAGTAGCTGAAGAGCGTGGCTGGTTCTCATGCTCGGGCCTATTCAAGCCCAACCCTTCTTCCCCTCTTCCCTCCCTCCTATCCCTTGCCAAACAGGATCTGTAGGATCTTACAGACTCATTTTCTCAGGAGACAGGAATGTCAGAACACAAGGCCGCAAGCCTGCTGGGACATGCTCCCTGCGTTCTCCTAAACTTACTGGAAAGGCTCTGGAGTTAGTTGCTCATACAACCATTTAATTTCCAGTAAGCATTGGGCAACATTTCTGAGTTGCTTTGTCTGTGATTAATGTGTAGTCAACACAGGCTGACTAAGTAATGACAATTACTTTGTCTGCTACTACTTTCCTTTTTCTTTCTTTAGTTTAAATTGATTTATGAACTAACTACAGAGAGATGATTTTACGGATGGGGAAAAAAGAACAAAAATATGACGATTTTTTTAGATTTTTATTATATCTTTTCAAAACTCAGTCTTTGGAAAAAGTTTATAAGCTTTATCTTACAAAGCAGAAAGTCTACTCATTTAGACTTTAAAGAACCCAGATGTATCGGAATATAAATATAATACAATGAAATTGTGACTTTCAGACAGTATTATAAGAATGACACAAAATCAAAGAAATGTAAAGGATTATTTGTCTGATTTTTTTATCATCCCATATTTACCATCTACAGTATGTTGAGTATTCAGATGCTAAGCAGAGAATATAAATGTAACAAAACATCGAAGACCCACTCAAAGCTACATTTTTTGCACCATTGTGAGTTAGGTTTAGAGGCACACATGTCCACAGTGGCAGAATTTCTGCATGTTAGCATGCTCTCAACACTAAAGCTGGCTTTTCTGTCGCATGTGCAGCCAGAGCTGATTCCAAATGAAATGTAAAAAGTCACCAGTCAAGTTTTTCCATGTGGATCGGTGGTCATCTCAGCTTTAATTGACGGACCAGTGGCTGGAGGTTGACGACGAGCTGCTGGTGGACTCTTTGTGGCGTGCGTTGGGGCTGTGGCTGTAGACTGGGGAGTGGGTGACACTTGGACTGCTGGGAGGTGTGGAGGAACAGGAGGAAGATTTGGATTTGATCTGGTGCCACTTGTCTCCCAAAGCCTTGGCAAAGTGGTCATCGACGGACACGCTGATGGAGAGATGGTGGGAGTGGGGTTGCTGGTACTTCGCTCCAAGGCTTCTCTGGAAATGCTCCTCGAGGACATGGTCATAGTTGCCCTTTGAATCCACTGGGGAAGAGAAGATGTACGACACACATTAAAAGCACACCTCAGTGAGTAAACTGAGGAAACTGTAGACCGTCATCTGCGCTATGATGCCACTGTGACAGTGAGGGAGGGACTGTCTGGTGAGTGAGCTCATCTGAGGAGTGTGAGACTGACCTGATGAATGGCTTCTGTGGACCTCAGATCTGCTGGAGGGGGTTCTTAGTGAGGGCACACAGGTGATCACAGAGGGACGCATCTGGAAAAAAAAAAGGGCCATGGATTTAAGACAGATTCAAACAGAGCTGGGATTGTGCTGAATCGGAAACTGTTCTTTGTGTCTTCTGATAATCCACCCAAACCTCCACAACCACTTTTCTAAACCTGAATGTGCACTCCACTGAAATTACAACAAATTTAATTTGAAATTAATTCAAAAGTTCTTAAACTGGTTTGGTTGCAATAAAAGTCGCACAACTCCCAGCGTGGTGCCATAAACGGGTCATAAAGAAAGCAGTCTGTTTGGTCTTGTTGATGGCATTCCTCCCTCCATTGCTCACATTTTCTTCCTGAATCCGGCTGGATTGCATAGCTCAGACAAGTCTGGGCTTGTGTGTGCTCTTGGAAGCAGAATACCTAAGCAGTTGGATTCACAGACTGAAGATGGGAAATGTACCATGGCTCTAAGTAGCCTGGAGCTACACAGAGACTACAAAGGGACAGGCACCAATGCTACATTTCCTAAGTAATGACTGCCTGAACGCTGTTATCTTGCATGAAATCACGTCTTTAAGGACACAAGAAGCGCTTGTTTGACTGAATTACCTGGATGTGGCTGGAAGTCGAGTTTTTAGTCTTCTCGTCTGTGCTCTCAGGGTCCTTCCGGGGTTTCTTGATAAGGTCCAGAGGTTCATCCATGACTGGTGTGTAGTACACATGGGTGGGCAGAGGGCTGGTGGGGCTGGGTGTTGGACTCAGGGTTGATGTGGGACTTTGCTGGCTGCTCAAACTCGCCGGTGCTGGTACTGGTGCTGCTCTTTGGGCCATCTTACCAAGGCTTCTGCTTATTGCCCGCTCACGCCTGAAACACACATTTGTCAGGGGGATTTTGCATTAGTTTGATTTAACTTGCATTGCGTTGGTCTTCATGTTACTGGAAAGATGAAAAAAAACTCTCACCAACCTTTCCTCCAGAGTTAGACCTCTCTCATGGCTCCGTTTGCGTTTGATGGGATACACAGCTGGGGCTCTCACCCGGTCACTGGCCATGTGTCTGTATCTATCTTCACCTCTAAGGTGGGATTGACCTGCAAAACAAATTCAGGATTTATTTATTTCTCTTTTCTTCAATGGTATTATGGACTGAGCATGTTTTCTTTTTCTTAGTGCAAATGATTATTTTCTAACAGTGTCAATTGTGTACAGAGAGATATGAGGAGTAACAGCTTGTTTTGATCCTTGGCATCAACCTGCATGACTACTATTCGTGGGAAATTTTTTTTTTTGTCACCGTTAATTGTAAACTCCGTTAAGCTGTAAAACTCGATCTACCTGATCAGTGAGCGTTACAACACTACACAGCTGATTCAATGCTAACGGTAAATGTTGTTTTTCTGCGTAATGTTGGCATCCAGCCCTGTCACACGCTCTCAAGGACTGACTGTTAGGATGGAGTGCAAAACACCAAGTGGCTCCCAGAGTGTGAGGACCATGACTTGGGCGGCACCCATTTGTGAAAAGGCCATCTGGGTGAATACGCACACACAGAAGCATGTACTTAATTTTTTTGTAATTGAACATGTTGCAACACACTGGTGCAGTGCTGATGATGTCAGTGAAGGGCTGGATAAGAGAGCTGCAGAGCACATCCAGACTGCAAGTTAAAAGGTTTTGAGGGTGGTTGTTATCTCATGTTTGTCCCTAGCAACAGTGAAATCAGGAGAACTCAAAAGTCTTGGATGTGTGTTATGCATGCAGATGAAACAGTAGCACTGTTTGAAAATGTAATGGCAGCATAAATCAAACTGCGTGCTATTGTTTGACTGTATGCTCAGTTCACACTTGGAAATCCACACTAATGGGACGACATGAGGATTCAGCTGTATTCAGGGAACAATGATGTCTGCAGCCTCTTTGAACCGACACAATAGGTGGTAATCTAGTTTTGCATTCGGAGACAGAAAAGAGCAGTTCTGGCTCTTCACAACTGATTGCTTTCTTAAGTTGACTTTTCCTTATGCAAAAGCTCTCCAAACACGCCAACACCTGTGTGCTGCTCCTTCACACAGAGTGCTGCTGTGGAGGGGGGCAGGTATTACCACACCTATGCTGATTTTCTAATGCCTCGGGCATGTATATTCCTTCCTTATTAGTGGAGTGTATGTGCTGTCTGACCTTCTACTTTGTTGCGTTCTTGCAGATTTTATCCGAATACAAAAGTGACAGATATCTCTTCGGGTAAGTTTAAGGCCTCTGAAAATCTATAAATAACCATTGTTTTTCCTTCATATTCTATTGAAGAATGTTGCTATTCATGAAAATAGTACTTGTGTTTTACTTAGTAGATTTGGAAGATTGTTCCCGGTGTTCATTGCCAACATGTCTAATCTTTTAAATCTAAAACTATATTTCCATAAATACCACAGTCAGAAAAAAGGTGAATACCACTGTCACAAACATAAAATGTTATATTGGGACTCAGTATTAAATAAGGAAATTATTAATATGGGTCACAGAGATATGAAAAAGATCAATACAACTGTTCACTGATACAAAGACATGTGAAAGAATAAAAGGAAAGGGTATTCAAACTTACCTTCCAGTATGTAGACCTTGAAGCCACTGCTCATCCGAGTAATGTATTGGAAATTAGCCACGGCCATGGCTCCTTCTCTTTGAGTCGAGGAAGGTACTGAGGCTGGAGTTGACTGCTGCAGTTTGTAGGAGACAATGAGCCTCAGTTATGGATTGTATTGGCGAGATAATGAGATGCTGTGTCTGAGCTCGGGCAGGTAAAGTATCAGGTGTGCACAGGCAGGCACAGTGGCTTCCCTGTGACTCACCCCCTGCGCTTCCATTGGCTGCTGTCTGGGCCAATGGCATGCCCTTACTCATCATCCTCAGATGTTATTGTGTTGTAGGCGGAATGTGCTCATAGGTAAATGTCAACGCCGTCCCGCCGTTCACACTAACCGAGGAAGTTTTTGCTCTATCCAGCACTTGATTTTCAAGAGAGTGTCAGTGGAAAAATAGATGAGGAAAACTTTTTTGAGGTCACATTTGTTTTTTCACACAATTCGCTCCTGTGGGAGAAGTGTGTCTTTTGTTTCCTTCAAGGAAACAGCACCTGTCCCACCCCCCACCCTTAGCCCCCGTCCCTCCCACCTAATCTGCAATCTCACCAAACTGCATTTTTCTGAGTGCTTAGCCCACCGGAGCTCCAGTCATTCCACAGACCTGCCCATACACGTTTGCAGCTGTACCCTGAGCCTGCCTCAACAGTATCCAAAGGCTTTTGTTGATGGTCACACAAAGACTCTTAAGTCCTGTAAATGCTGCTACCATGAGAACAATCTCTTCTGAGAGTGCCGAAGAACTCAGATACAGAGACACTGATCTAACAAGGACTTTAGGAATAAGGCGTATTTTTTGGGGGGTTATGAGTTAGAATATCCACAGAAAATAAAATGGATCCTACTTGCTGACCTGATATATATAAGCCAATCTTACTTGTGAATATCGGCCAAAACATTTTGAAATGGCAAAAAGCTGATAAAAAGGTCTAGTTGCTTGTACAATCATGACAAAAACAGTATATGGTTTAAATTAAGCTCAATAGCACCACCTTTAGCCGACAATAAGGAGGTATCAATGCCAACATTTTGCCATTGTTTTTTGTATATTTTAGATAAATACAGATGGAAAAGGTATTTTTTCAGCAAACTTATCTTGAATAACTTGTTTGCTCAGTCATACATTCCATGCAGTGCTAACATTTTTTTACAATGCATGGGACTAAGTTTTAGAATGCAGAGAATCTGTTGGCGGCCAGTCAGGTTCCAGCTTTCCTCATGAACGTAGTTCACGTGGCCAAAAAAAGCATCTCATTTGCCTGCTACAAGACAGACGCCCAAAGAAAGATTGTGGTAGTGGAATGTCACATTTGGAGCTGTTTCTTGTGCTGTTAGGTCACAGTGACGGCAAACATTGCTTGACTTAATCATTCCAATGAGATAAGAAAAAGGGTGTGCGGATGCTGTTCTCACAGTCACATGCAGGTGTAATGCACACCGTGTACTGTTCTGTCAGTCAACCTCTGCCCAATCGTTGATATAACAAGGATACTTATTGTACTTGAGGAAAAAAACAACCTATCAAAGAATTTCATATTAGGTACGCACTCGTCATTTTATCAAACTAAGTTAGTATTCAAGTTTTCCAAATTCACAGGATAATTCACAGGATCCTGTTTAAACCAGATGTTAAATGTAACACTTCATTATGCAAAACTGTGACTATGCAAACTTCAGCTGCATAGTCTTATATTCAGTAGGATTAAATTAACATAAACTCATTGGACAACAGCTCCAGATCAGATAAATTGTGTCAAAATTTCAATAAGAGAAAGACTATATTTCTTATGGGAAAAAAGCAAGACCAGAGATAACATTGTATTCACCTAGCTAACTGTTGGGGTTGTAAAATCTCCATTTAAAAAGATTCCCAGAAACTTCCCTCTACCAAACAGTGTTAACCATCATGGAAAAACATCACATTTCTGTATGTTGCAACTTGTGGTCATAATAGAGAAGAAAAGTTTGCTGGTCTGTAGCATTCAGTTGTGTGTTAACAAATCACAATGCAAGAAAGGCAATACAAATGATCTTAAAGCAGCATTTGTTTCTGCCTTTTCGTCTGGGAGGAGATGCCGAATATTAGAGAGGCTCTTGTTTCACACTGAACATCATTTATAAGTATCAAACGTTTAAGACAGCTTTCAATCATCCCAGGAATGAATGTAACAGCATGTTTGTCCCATATTCTTTTGTGTAGTACTCCGGCTTGTTTTATAAAGTGAGGGCATTTGTTAGAAAGCTAAAGCTTGGCTGAAATCAAATTATGCAACACTACAATGATTCCAAGTGCAGCCACAAACTGAAAGAAAGCCAAAATAATTTAAATAATGCTGTATGAGTCCAGTCAAAGTCCAGATGTCAACCTGAGGGAATTGCTAAGGTGCAACCTTAAGAGATAAACAAATCCCAAATAAATGTAATCAACAGAGGCAACAGTTAAAAAAGGAGAGGCCAAAAACTCAAAACAATTACTTTAAGTTATTACCAATAAATTAATGTTTGCAAGCATAAGGGAACATATGTTTCCCATTACACCTCTTCAATTTGGCTGAGATGAAAAATGAATATGAATGAATATGTTCTGTGTTGAACTTGGTTGTGATTGTTCATTTCTTAAGCCCGGGTAATGGCCATCTTTTCATTTTTCATTTTCTCCCAACACTTTTTGTTTTTGCACGAATCCTGACATGAGTAACATTTGTTGTTAAAAAGGGAATCAAGACAAAGCAAACAAAACGCCTCTGAAATAAACAACACCAGCGTTTTTGAAAAATATTCTGACAGCATAAAACGCTGCAGACTAAACATTGTCTTTCCAAGGCATTAATGATTCAGGAGAAACATGCATCAACTGTGCCTTCCCCCATCAAGATCCCCATCCTGTTACTATCACAGAGCAGTTTCCATAGGAGAGCATCCAGGTCTCCCTTGGGTCATGTGTTGATCAAGGGGGGGTTGGGGATAATCAACAGATGGCGCACCTCTTAAAATAATAATGGAAAATCAATAGTCACTCAATATGAGACTGGGGGTGTAACAGTAAATGTGCCACTACTATTTCAGTGGTCCCAGCATCAGCCAGTATTACTTTGGGACTTGGCAGAGAAAAGGCTGGCGTGTGTCACATCACAGCCCTGTCACTCTGCTCCCATCAGCACCACCCTCAGCTCCCTCCACAGGGGTGCGTCAAGTCAGACACTGGCATCCAGAACACAGGAAGCCAAGCAGCGTCCCTTCAGATTAGGACAAAACACAAACGTCACAATTTTCATTTGAGAGAATGTGATCCTTTATTATGGTTGGTAAATAAATCCCACAAACGCTGACGTTTAATGAGTTGCATGACTGTTTAGCTCATCCCCTTAACGTTGTTGGACATGTGCATGATGCACAAAGTTAAGTCCATATCAAAACCTTCACAAAGCCAGGGAAGCACGTGGTTATCGAAGCATGTTACATCTTTCACACCAAAGGGCAGAGCTCATAGAAGGAGCCCTATGCTCATTCTATTTAGTTATAATTTTTAATCAGGCAACTGGAGAAGGAAGCAAAATTATTTGAAAATGGTCTCGTTTAGACGCATTATTCTGCAAGCTGCATCCGGAAGTGTGCGTCCGCACACTGCGTAACTTGCCGCATCTCCCTCAGGATGACTGGGAGTGACGCAGGGCAGACAGAGAAAACTGGGTCTTGAGGGTGAGCGGGGATGCTGGAGGAGCTGTGGCTTTAATTATTTCAAAGGCTCCAGCCTGATGCACGACCTGGCCGCCGGCGCAGAGGACAGGAGAGTGACCTGTGCGCGGGCTTTGCTCTGACACTCCGCGGCAAGGCAGGCTCCATCACCTCATTCTAAGGGGCGAATCAGTTTGGGTCCATTCCCAGGTAAGGCTTCGCCAAACCCCTGATGGGGACGTTACTAAGAACGACAAGAGTGGTTGCTGAGATAGCTGGATTTATCATCACGACACGCTTGATAAGCCTATAATGATTAAAACCGAAGAACACATATATCAGCTGTCATATGCGAGCTAAAATATACTTTCATTTAATCGGGCCAGTCACGATTTTTTTATTCTCTGAACAGATAGTGGAAATGGCCTAATAAATAACACCAGACTTTGTCCTCTATAGGTATTGATCTCTTTTTTCTGCACATGGGAGAATAGCGTATAGTCATTCATTTCTCTCACTGAAACCCAAGTTGTGAGTCTCTCTCTCGTTGGGAGGATATTCGGACCCCCCTCTCTCCGTCATTGAAATCTATCTATCCGCACCATGAACTACCTGCGTCGACGACTGTCGGACAGCAATTTCATGTCCAACATCCCCAACGGCTACATGAGCGACCTGCAACGGCCCGACCCGCCGCAGCAGAGCCCCGCGGTGTCCCCGGGGCCCGCGGAGAGGCGCCAGTCCGCCAGCGCGCAGCCGACCGCGGCCGCGGCCGCGGCCCCGGGCTCCGGCTTCTTCTCCTCCATCTCCAACGCCGTCAAGCAGACCACGGCGGCCGCGGCGGCCACCCTGTCCGAGGCGGCCGATCGGGCCGGCGCCTCCAGCAACGCCAAGATCCTCCTGGCCATCGACGACCAGCAAACCGACTGGTAAGAGAGAGCAGGGCAGGTTTTGGCACCGGTCTAGACAGGGACGCGTGCTGCAGTGGCCGTGCAGCTGGAGGGGGTCATATGATGCAGCCGGTGCTGCCAGGTGCATCACGTGAAACCGTCTGAGAGACACCTCGGATAGGCCTATGAGCCATGCATGTGCACTGATGGTGGAATTGGAGAAAAACGTTACTAACTTAAGGCATGGCAGAGAAGCCATTTTCGTTTCTCAACCAGGCCCCTTTGCTGATCTCAGGTTACACTGGTCTCAGCCCCAAACAGCACAATTCCAGCAGGGTGATGCAGGAATGCTCACGTCAAGTTGCTGTTAAATGCAGAATTGGCATAATGCCTAATGAATAGCACATTAGTCAGAGGTGCATACCCCAAACTTTAAGATTCAGGTTTGAGTATGACATGATAACAAGTTATATTAGTATGCAGTACTGTACATGTGGAGAGTAAGAGGTAAGTAAGGCTCTTATTGGCATGTGTCCACAAAAACATCATCTGTCAGAGAGAAAAAAAGCCTGATCAGGTTTGAATGTTTTTCTTTTCTGACCATGATGCTTCCTTGTTTCATGTTCAGGGTGAAGGTCTTCAGAGGAAGAAAGGTCCACGGTGAATATGACATCAAGGTAGAACAGGTAGGTTTTGGAGGCCTAACTATGTGCTGCTATGCTCAGGGTAAGTGTTACTTTTTTCTCTCACAGGGGGAGAAGAAATAGCAGACAACGAAGACTGGGAAGGTTAAATAAACCCAGCCAAGTTTCCGTGACCCCTTTCAGTATTCAGCGTTTTACTTATGGACAGGGGCTTATGTCAAAAATGGTCGAGTGCATGGTTTCTTTTTCCCGGTATAAGCACCGGCATTATTAATGAGCTGGTCATGAATCCCACTAAAAGCATAAGCAATGTTCAAAGCCAGCCCAAAGAGATTAAGTGTCTATGGTCCAGTTCACTCTTGAGGGAATGTTCACACACACTTGGGTTGCTAGATACTTTCCCCACATGAATGTTTTGTCTCATTGCATATGATTATTAATATAATTATTTTTTTGCATTTATAATAATCCTTAGGTGTGATGCAAACTTCAATGCAATCTCTTATATTGATAAATCAACCTCTCATGCAGCCTACCAACTTGACCGATAGGCATTTAGGTCCATTTCACAGTTGAAACATGTTGCCTTAGAGGACTATCTTTGAATCCAGTTTTAGCCTGTGGCTATTCATAGAATTCTAAGAGCAAAGGGACCCAGGAAGGTTTCAAAATCTTTCTTCTTTGCTTCAGGCTCTTTAATCTTTAACTATTTTTGTCTCTATCTCATACTGCACTGACTCACTATAATTGCTTTTGTGACCTGTTACCAGGAAGAAAACACTAGACAGTGTCTAATATCTCGTAATTGTACCCTCCACTACAAAAATGTTGGAGATAAAGCCATTCATTTCCTTCTATCCTGATCATTACTATTGCAGATTGTGTGGTGTTTAGTTGGGGGTTGACCATAACACATCTGAATGTCTGTCCTTTCAGGCAGAATTCTCTGAAATCAACCTGGTGGCCAACGCCACAGGCTCCTACAATGTGGACATTGATGCAATCAGAAATGGACATAAGGTTACTAAGTAAGTGCAATCTGTTCTTTTAGGAATTTTTGCACTGCTGCACATTGGGGCTCAGAAAATCCAGTTAATCATAACTAAGGAGTTTTTCCAACCTATGCAGTTTAATGTTTTGCTCATGTCCTTTTTGCTAGATCCTTTAAGCCCGACTTTGTGCTGATAAGACAGCACGCCTTCAGCATGGATAAGAATGGCGACCATCGGAACATCGTGATTGGACTGCAGTATGCGGGAGTACCGAGTGTTAACTCCTTGCACTCTGTGTATAATTTCTGTGACAAGCCATGGGTGGTAAGCAGTGCTTAATCACTGGGGTTGTTTGAAACAGGGGCGAGCAGATATACAGGGCGGCTTCCTAACGTTTGCTTTCGCCTCAGTTTGCTCAGATGTCAAGACTCCACAAGCAGTTGGGTCAGGACGATTTCCCCCTGATCGAGCAGGTTTACTATCCAAACCACAAAGAAATGGTAGGTCCTTTTCCTTTTTTTACTTCCTTTTTTGGTTGAGATGAGGTGCACGTGTTCATAGTAAGCACCCTGTGAAGAAACACACATATTAGGGATGTAGTTCACCTCCAGGATATTTGTCAAATGCAGAAGCTTCTTTAAAAAAAACGTCTGGATTTTCAGTCATGTACATTCTTATTTTGTTTTAATTAGGTTGAGCTTTTTAATAATGGTGAGCCAGAACAGTCAGAACAGTGAAAGGGAGACTGTTGCTGCAGAGCAGTCATCTCCAGCACTGCAGTCACAGTCTGACAGACCTGGGCTGGGCTTCAAGTCATCAAAATGAGTGAGACTATCTGCAGCAACAGAAGGAGGCAGCTCTGCGTGCCTCTGCTATTAAATATGCATTCAGACACTTTGTTGATCATTCGGGTGCAATGATTAAATCTGATTTGTGTCTGGTGCGGGGATAATGTTCTTGTTGCAGATTTCCGCCCCTCGATTCCCTGTCGTGGTAAAGATGGGCCATGCTCACTCAGGAATGGGGAAGGTACTGCTGGAACTTTCAATCACACGATTATAAACACACATGTCGTCATATTTAGTTTTTTTTTTTTTTTACTCCTGCCATATTAGGTGAAAGTGGACAATCAATCTGACTTTCAAGACATTGCTAGTGTTGTTGCAATTACGAAGACTTATGCAACTTCTGAGCCTTTTATTGATGCAAAGTATGATGTCCGCATCCAGAAAATCGGCAGCAATTACAAGACTTACATGTGAGTGACTCTGCATTATTGAATTCTCAGTATTTATTTTGACCAAACTCTGTTAAAAAGCCAACACACTTGGAGGTTCTGACAGATGGAATCAGCAAAAACATGTTATTTCCTATTCGAATTAACAGGAGGACGTCGGTTTCTGGCAACTGGAAGACTAACACTGGCTCGTCTATGCTTGAGCAAGTGGCCATGTCAGACAAGTAAGAGCAAGTAATTGGATATTGTGAAAGTGCAGATATCATTATGTTTCTCCGTGTATTGTAATATTTCCATTTAACGTGTCATTGCAGGTACAAGATGTGGGTGGATTCTTGTGCAGACATCTTTGGAGGGTTAGATATTTGTGCTGTGGAGGCTCTGCATGGTAAAGATGGCAAGGACTACATTATAGAGGTAATAAAAGAGAGAAAAATGATGGTGCATAATGTTTACCTCACTAAGCAATACAAAGGCTGGAATTCTCATATTTATTAGAAGGGCAACCATCTGTGGTTTTAAAGTTATTGTCGACGAGTTTACATTGATCTCCCACTTCAGAAAGCTAATGTAATTAGTCTTAGGTTGATTTTTCCAACTGGGAACTTGGACATTTTTTAAAGTTCCCATTTTTTTTATTAGGATAGTGAATAGGTTTTGTCATGTTTTTGTGTTTAAGGTCGATGACTGTTCGATGCCACTGATTGGGGACCAGCAGGATGAGGATCGTGTTCAGATTGCAGAATTAGTCATTTCTAGGATGAACCAAACTATTCCCTACACCGTGAGCTCTTCCACAGTGCGTGCCACTGGAGGACAACAGACACAGGTGCTCAAACTACACACAACACTGCCCTTTGATTCCCAACTCTTTTGCGACATTGGCCATGACACCGACAGATGTTTGTATCTGCATTGATTCTAGATTGTAGGGGAGAGAAAAACTATAATGTAACTGCGAGGTGACAAACCGAAACATTCTGGTGCACTTTAAACTACACAGTAAGGATATCTGAGTAATTTCACTGGAGACAGAGATAACAGCTTTAGGCAAATAAAGCCCAATAGGAATCATACACAATCCTGCACTGTGAACTCTACAACAATTTATCTTTGCTCTTACTTACTTACTTACTTACTTACTTACTTACTTACTTACTTACTTACTGAAAACATGTCTCTTTTATATGCATTCGATGCAATATCAACGGATACTCATATTCTTACAAAATGATACAAATATTTTGTGAAAAAATCATTTGTTTTGTAGAAAGCAGTTTCCCCTCAGCCTGTCTCGCAGCCCAGAGTCCCACAAGCCCAACAGCGTCCTTCACCACAGGGTAAGAATTTAATTCTGAAAGATTTAGTTATGTAAAAAGTTATTGAAAAAAAAGGGGGAAGTGACTTAAATGTATTCTCTCAAAAAATGTATGAAAAAATAGTAAAATTCATCTTAGCATCAGTTGATGCGATCGCTGCTTTACCACAGGGGGTCCTCAGCAAAGTCCTCCACCCCAGCAGCGCCCCCAGCCTCAGGGCCAGCCCCCCGCACAGGCCCAGCAGCAGCCGGTCAGCCCCGGCACCACTGACCCCAGCTCTCAGGCCAAAGTGAACACAACGCGGCCACCAGGTCAGGGCGCTGCTCCGCGTAGCCAGGGAGGTTCCCCCCAGGCTCAGAGGCAACAGTCCGCGCCGCAGCCCCAGAAAACCTCCGCGGGGGGTCAGAAACCACAGAAACCCGCTCAGCCCCCCAGACAGCTGTCACAGGGGGGGGGGCAGCAGCAGAGGGCATCCAGTCAGCAAGGCCGCCCCGGCGCACCCACCACCCAACAGCCACGGCCTGCTGCTCAAGGCCAGGGGGGTCCGGGAGGAAGACCCCCCCTGCAGCAAAAGCCCCAGCCCCCACAGAAGCCCAGCCAGGACAGCCCGCCTATGGGGGGCTCCCCGCAGCTAAAGTAAGTCACCGCACTGGGTCCGGGTTCACCTCATCTTTCTTTTTTTAGTAAATGCCTGCACAGAAGATAATTTTTTTAATTTTTGCTTGCACTAAGACATGCATGTGACCTGGAAAACCTCTTTATCGACAAATGATCAACCTGAATGTGCATGGTATAGTGGTTCTTACATTTGTCTTTCAGCAGCAGGTTCCCCTAATCATAACATTTCAGACTGTTTGGACAGATGTAAAACACTAAAACAATTAGGATAAATCACACATGAAACAGTTTATCCATCACATGCTATCAAAAACTAGAAACTTTTATAATGGTCTTAATGTCCAATGATCCAGTTCAGTAATACACATTGTTTTGCAAAGTATGTGAATCGATTCTGAACTGCTCTTATGACCATTAACGATTTAGAGAAAAATCTTAGAAAAAAGGATTTTACCATCAGAAAGACAGTGTAAAAAATCCTGAAGTTAAATTAGCTGTCAAAGCCAGGATTCAGATTAAACTTAGACCCCTGACAGAGTGGATTATTTTCCTCCCTCGATATCTCACATAGTAGATTTTGACTAATTTGTTTTACTGGTTTCTTGCTTACTTGTGGGACTTCTGTTGCAAAGAAGATCTACTTTGGTGATCACTTCTACTTTGGTGGTCGACACATTTTTCATATATAAATGAGTCTCGTCATCGTGTTTTTTAGGTTATTTAGATGAAATTGCAAATGTTCAAACTCTCTCATTATCTGTCCCAGAAAAAACACAACAACAAAACAGTGTGCATCACTTTGCATCCAGAAATCTCATTCACTGTTCATATCATGTCAAAGCAGACTTGAAATGATAAGGTGATAGTGAATGACATCAGAGAAGGAACGGGCTTTTATGATTTCTTTTTTTTTAATTGAACCTTTTCTCCCTCGATATCTTTCTCTCTGTCTTTCCTTGCACCAGCCTTTTCATTCCATTGGTCTGCTGCATGACTTTAATAGCCTTTCCTTCTCCTCTATTGCCATTTCCCTCTCTTTATAGCAAATCCCAGTCTCTTACCAATACCTTCAACATTCCAGAAACCCCAGCGCCCCGAGCCAGCCTTAGCCAGGACGAGGTGAAGGCTGAAACCATACGCAATCTACGCAAATCTTTTGCCAGTCTCTTCTCAGACTGAGGTGGCACAAGACCAACCCCCACCCCATCCCTCCCTCCCCCTTCCCACTGAGAGAAAAAAATGGACAGGCAAACTGAAGGAGAGATCCCTTCTTCCCCAAATGAGCAAGGACCAACAGGATCTCCAAAATACGTCTACCTAGTCTGACTGAAAAATTGAAGCGCACTGCCGACATAAATCTAATCTATTAGAGGGGAAACAAAGGTACAATATAGTCAGGCACTGAACGTCCCAAACATTTATTGTCTTGCTTTGAGCTTAAGTGAGTCCACGTAAGCCACACAAAAACCTGTATATGCATGCAACGCACAAAAACACACAAACAGGAAGCATAACAATCAGATGCTGCGCCCTTTTGTTTTGGTGCTGTAAATTTATCGTGGTATTTCTGTTTTAAGTAAAATAAGGGACTCTACAAATGCTACTATGGTCAAGAGGATTGTACTACAGAGTTATTATGAGCAGTTACTGAACAGTATATATACACCTACCCTAGTCGATAGAGTTTTCTGAGAGATTCACCTCATTAGTTTAGTCTCAGCCCAGATTATAGATTTATCTATAGAATAGGCATACGTTTTTGTGTCACAGTTCATATAAGACTATTTTTACTAAACTATTGGAGGTTTTTCTACAAAACCAAAAGTCACAAGTATGACATTATTATAATCAGACACAAAGATTAAAAGATAAATTCCAAAAAACAGTAAGCTTGCCTTTTGAAAAAATGAAAGTAACTCTCTTTCCTCCCCCCTAGTAGCTTTGTATTGTGCCTGTCTCACTTGAGCTGCACACATAATGTCCAGTGTTATCAAAAGCTAGTTCTGTTCGGGCCGCTGGGCGCTGGCGGTGATATCTTAGCTGCATGTCGTACGGGGGCAATCCTTGCAGTTTCTGACGTCTGGCGCTTGTATTTGTGTCGTCACATGTAGGTGAGTTAGTAAAGTAGACTTGTAGGTGTTGTGCAGTGCGTCGTTGCTCTCACTTTTCTTCCCCCTTTTTTCTCACCGCACCGGAGTAAAAAGTGTCCACTTTAAGAGCATGCCTTACACAGACAAAAGGTCAAATCAAATGGCACGGTCTCAGGGATGTCCACTTGATTGGGACTCTTGTGTGTGGCTGAGGGTCTTCCATTACAGTTTTATATTTTTTTTTCTTCTTTTTTGTTGATGAAGGAAAAGCTTGCATCTTTGTCAGGTAAAATGTGTAACGTTTGCACACAGAGTACACAGCAACATGATACTTGAATAAAACGCCATGGACTGATGTGTGAAGTTTCCATGTCGAGCCGCTCGCTGGACCGTCAAACAGTTACGAGCCGTGACCGGAAACCAACCGCTGAATTGAGAAGTTTGACAATAACTACCACATTAGCTCGGGCTGGTTTGGGGATTTCGCGGCGGCGTGTGGGGTTTGGCACTTCACTCAACAGACTGTGCTTCCATATGCTGCATGCTTTTTGCTTTTTCCATAGATTTACGACACGCTCCAAAGCATACTCAGCCAAGGAATGTTACATCTATACAATATAGGGAGGGAAACAATGTGAAAGGCATCGGGACATGAACTGCAGGGTGCCCCTATGCAGTGGTTCTAGCACTTACTGCCACTCACCTTTTGCACTGACAAACCTGTCTTGAATCTATGTGGAAATGGAAGCTGTAACTGTTAAACAGTTGTGTTTCTAGACACCGAAAACGTCTTCCAGCAGTGCGTTACATTTGAATGTCGAGCAAATACGGCAATACCCCCCCCCCCCTGCTTTTCAGTGAAGTTTCAGTAGCCAGAAGTAAAAAGGAGTCACGATCCCCCTGCAGACTCTCCATGCTGCCTGTGCTTGTTGGTCTGTTTGTGTAGCCACAGTGACCCCTTGTGCTCAGTGGTGTGTAAACGTGTGAATGTTGTTTTGTGACTGGCCGAGCCAAATAGATGTGTTGTACAGAGCTCTGAGTGATGCAGATTGCTTCTTCTCTCCCCTGCTGCTATCTGTGCTTGTTGGTATTAGGTGTGTCTTACTTATTTCGTTTTTGCTTTAGAGGTTTGTGGATTGATATTTGAATGATTCGCCATCATTTGCTTCTTATGAGGCACCACTTTCCGAGGCTTGAGGGTTTATACCTTAGTGATTCAGGGCTTCATTTTTAAATTTTACAGCAACTCAGTGTCAGTGAATAATTGCCCGATTTATCGTTATTATCGCCAGGAGAATCAGTGGGAGCAGTGCTCACACTGAGTGTGTAATCTATGAAAATGAGCCATTACTTTTAGAATGGATGGTTGAGTTGGCAACATGTCCCTCTTTCACTCAGACTGACAGAATGAGCTGAAACAGCAATGCAACGACACAGTTTTGTATTTATGTTTTTGATATTTGAATATTTTTATTTTATTCTAAAAGGTCCATATTATTTCTGGTGAATAGATTTGACCGTGAATGTACTTTAGTCTTTCTTACAGCTGGTTCTTTTGTCTAATTGCACTGTATAATCATTGTGAAAACTGAACAACTGCAAATTTGTCAATGAGTGAAAATTGGTTGTCATATGATGCCTGCCAGATTGAAAATAATACACCGTACATGTAAGTGCAAACATCTGGGGTTTTTGTGATATCAAAAGTGAGACAATGCATAAAGTAAACATGGTGGATTATTCAATTTGATGTAAAAAAAAAAGAAGATATATATATATAGATGTTATATGCAATGTAGCTATATCATGTGAAAATGAGTATGATATTAAAACATGCACATGTCTAATAAAGTATATGACCAAACCGTTGCTGTTGTGTTTTTCACTATGGGCGTCATATCTTCATCTTGAAGACTGATTCTTGTGGAGTTTAAGGCAAGACTCAAAGGCAAGGCAAAAAATACCTTAATGATGTTAAAATGAAACATTAAGATCATGTTTTGATGATGTTTTGTCCATTTTTTTAAGCATTGGCTGGTGTATTATTGGTGTCTGCGTGTAACTGATTGTTTACAATACTGTGTAAAAGTCTTTCATTATTTTTCAGTCTCCTCTGTTCTGTAGATTTTTCTTCCAAGGTGCCAGACTTTATTATAAGGTTAAATGATTTTGCAGAATAATATTGCAGGCATCATCTTTCAAAGTTATTCTTTGGATTCCAATTTACTTTTCACGTATTTACCCCAATCATTGAATCATCCAAGTATAAAAAGGCATACAATCTATGCTGGTACTTTTATGCAACCTAGTAGCGGAATATATTTTGAAATGTGTCTTTGTGCACATATTTACCAGCAGCTTGTTGATATTTGTCATTCAAAAATGTATTTCTGGACAGGCCATGCAATTCCCAAAGAGATTTCAGTTAAAAACTTAGTACATGTCATCATGGTGTGCAGTATACGTTTAAAAACCTCTGAATTTTGTGGTGGACAATACAAAAGAAGAAGCATCAGAATTAGCATTCTGTCGCAAAACAGCATCTCTCTTGATAAAGAGATACATCTGGACCTTCACAAAAATCTGTATGCTGCTGGCTGAAACATAAACACAAAGGACCTCCAAGGAAGAGGCTACTGAGAAGTGATTATTGTTGGAACTGTACAGCCTTCTTATTAGCTATAAATACTGTATTTTTTTCCAGTTTGCACCTGCTTTAGTATGTCTCCGTACACATTTCCTGTTTGCCTAGTAAAATAAAAAGGATGTGAGGGATAACTTGAGACTTGTGAAACAGTTCTGAGGTCGGAACTCTTTGTACTTCAACTCTTTCCTTTTTGGAACATTACAGCTTGTTGCGTAATTTGACTAAGTGGAGCCCTTTGTGAAACTCAACTGTTTTTCTAGACGAATATAAAGTGTAACACATTATTGCCACAAGGTGGTGTGGGCCTACAGTCTGTAGCCCAAATGCTTCAACACATAAGTATTCCCAAATTATTTTACAAAGTATTATATACATGTATTATATTATCAATATTCTGATTTGATAACTGCAGTTTTTTTTATTTATTGGAACTACAGGAAGTACTATAGAGAAACCAAAGCATTTAGCATGTCTTCACTTTTGACAGTGTATCCAGCGATACACTGTGTTGACAAGGTTTTTATTAGAGTTTTATCTTTTACAGTGTAAAGAAAAGTAACATGGTTCAGCTTGTGGCCTGATTTACACTGTTCAAAACACAACATTCTGTTTGGAGTTGCCATTTACTTGGGTCTTTTCTCAGAAGCTTCAAAACTGAATGTAGAAGCTGTAGCCGTGAAGCTATAACCATTATTCTACCTTCCACTCAAGAGAATGATGTGCCTCATTGCCATGTCTCGTACAAAATCAATGGCTGCATCTATGACCAAAACAAATGCATTAAACAATTAACATTTTATTCCCTTTTCAGTCAGTAACAAAGAGACATGCCCTGTCTAAATGTTTTTGGCTGATAGATTTTATGCAGTGTGCAGGAGGGTTCAGGTTTAATCACCAAATGGATCAATTTCTCCTTCCATTGAAACTTTTCATTGCAGAGAAAAGTGTGTGGTGAGCAAAATCCAATTTGCAGACAGGATGTTTTATGACTACTCGCTCATGGAAGGTCAGCATAGGTTTTAAAGCTCTGCTTGCTTGCCTTTCTTATTCGCCTGGAACCATACTGTTCTCTACATTCAGACTTGGTACAAAAGCAAGCTTCTCAACATTTCACATCAAATGCAACTTTTCTGATGGCTAATAAATATTAATAAGGGAATAGCTTTAATATCATGACAGAAGACCAGAAGTTATAATTGGGCAGATTTGGTCACTGCCCAGCAAGTACACTCACAAGAACACATCCAGAATAATTCATTTCTTCATCATTCAGTTATTCTGGTAAATTATTCTGGTACAACTTCAGTGACTTTTCTGTTTAGTAATAAAGGATTCCAGGCCATTGCCAGCAATAGTTTTTTCCCCCCCTCAGTTATATGTTAAGTGAGAAGATAAGAGGAGGGGCCCTCACGATTTCTTGCCTAAGCCAGGATATTTCTAGAACTGACCTATTTAAACAGCCCGAGGAAGCTGCAAGCACAGGTGCACGTGGATGGCTGCAACTTCCATGCGTAATCAGATATATTTGGGTGTCATTAACTCAGAATTCCACATAAGTTTCACAAGTGATTTGCACATCTGATGTCATCACTGGCAGTACAGACCAAGTACAACCAAGGGGGGGGTCTTTCAAAGCAGAATATGTGTAATTTCAACACAGGAGATACACAATTGTTCTCAGCCAGGCTTTTATGAAAGGATCAAGAAAAGCACATTTGATTAAATGTTCTTAAATGGTCATCTATGTATAAGAAGCAGAGGCTGTTACAGCTATTATACGCGACATACAACCATGGACAATTAGTGCAACCCAGTACTGCTTTGCATTGTGCTGCTGTGGGATAGAGGGTGAGTGATATCCATATTTAGAAGGCTCTCATTGATTCTTCCAAAGTGAGGCACAAAAGATTTGTTGTCTGTCCAGTCTTGAATAGGGAGACCTTAATGACAGCTCTGCATTATAAAACCTCCTGCTGACCTAAATCAGTATTCGAAACGATGGAGCTGTTTGTTCAAAATGGAATATAACTGCAGTCTGTTTCTATGTTGTTACATAACAATACCGGGGTGACAATGCACAACCACAAATAATTTGCATCACCAGGAGCTCTCAGAGAGAAACAAGCACCCACTCAGCGGCCCATCTCTCCGTTCCAAATGTGTTTTCCCCTTTAATAAACTTGCACACATGACTGAGTGATTCCTCAGCCAAAATGGCAGATGATGAGGGATGAGAGAGGAGTGTGTAATAAAGATTTAATTAAGTTTCACCATGGGATGTCTCACTGTAACTCCAGAGACCAGAACCGGGGAGTTTGTGTTTGCTCAGTGCAGTTGTGAATAATATCTACACTTCTTATTTTGACCTACTTGTGCTAAAACGAGGATCCAAAGATAAGCCCACATGAGTGTAGGTCTTTCTTATCTTCCTCTCACGGTGGGCCTGAAACAGGATGTCTCTTCGGTAAACCCTATGGTAACTCGTGCACTGTCAATCTTTGTTAGAGATAATCTGGGCAGTGACAGACATGCATGCTGTATTTCTCTAAATGTGCATGTGATGCGAGGCTGCACTGCCTCTGCAGATGCACGTATCTGCAGAATGATGAAGATTTATGAGCGACTTTCACCTCCCTGCGCCTTATCTTAGTGACGTGGATTTTTATGGCCTCCACGGAGGACTCCCATCAGCACTTTATTTCATTCCCTTTGAAATCAACTCTGTCTCTTTAGCTCCTACTCAGTGTGGGTTACTAGGGGTTACGTGACTCCCAAATGGTTTAGCTCACACGTAAATTAGTTTAAAAGTGTTACTTAGAGTGAAATGTTCATTTTTCTGTGCACCCAAAATAAATAGGTTTTCCTGACTAAGCTCAGAAAAATTCTATGTTGAATAATGGATGGTAGGGTCATATTTTCTATTCTAAAACTTTGAAATGGGTTATAAAATCACTTTATTTAGAAATGTTTAGACCATGCATATTGCTGTACCTGAGGAAAAAGGCCCACGTGCCTTTGGAAATTCTTCTTTATTCTAGAAAACTGAAAATCCCTTCCATTTAATCTAGTCTGATCCAGCAGGGCTCAAGACTATGCCAAGATAGATCCTACAGGGCCCAACGGGGCCAAATGAGCAACTAAACACTTCACTTGACTGCTTCCAAATCCTAGGAAAGCACAGGATCTGAGTCTTGTGAACCCCATACGAACTGTCACAACTTTCTGAGCCACTTGAGGTGCACAGAGAGGATTCAGTGGTTTAATTTGTGGAGGGTTTAATCAGGGTTAGTCTGGAATTATGGGGAAGACTATGTGCATCTCCAACTGAGTCTTAAAATTCTCCTCCACATCACAAAAATCGCCTGCGAGTGGATCTAAAGGAACCAGCCGCATTCAGTCATATGCCTATTCGGGTGGTCTAATTCTGGCTGTGTGAAATATTCAGCACTGCAGGAGCTGAAAACAGCATCCCTAGCTACCCCAGAGACTACTTGTGGCACAGAGGGGTTGAATTTCTCTGCCTTTCCATCTCAGTGTAATGTGTTTTTCATGTTTCCCCTGACATATTATCATTACAGTCCGAACAGGAAAAAAAAAAATTGTTTGTGCTGGACTTTCTATGTATGGGGCCTGATTGTGTCTGCATCCCCACATCTTTTACATAACTCCTTCACATGGGAAAACCGAAATTGGAAACTAATAGCAACCTAATCTCACATAGACCTCATTGTTCCCAGCATGAGTGCCAAACGCTGTTTACCAAGGGGCATGGAAGCTTGTTTGATCAGTCAAAGCAGTGTGAAGCAATGCTCTGATCTAATGTTGCTACTCTGTGATGCTACAAATCGGATTGATCCCTGTCGGTGGGGTTTTCTAATCAACAGAGCCATTGATTTTCCCTCCACAGACTCTATGAGGTGCCTAATACACCTGCTGGCAGCCGGCTGACAGACACTCATGCCTGCTAACCAACAGCTGACACGAGCTGATGCCAGTGCACGGTGCTGGAGAGCGTGAGTCACACATGCTCAGATAGATCCCACTCTCAGGGATGCTGGACGCACAATGTGAGATCCACTGTATTCTGAATCATATCTCACGATACACGTGGTGTGTCACAGATGGGGTCTCGGTTATCTGTTGTGTTTTGTAACCAGTGGGCAGGCAGCAAGAGTCATCGCGGCGATAAAAAAGAACAGAACTGGTCATCATCTCGCTGTGGCAAGAGTGAGCTCTGTCAAAGCGAGGCATCAGTGCGATCTTCAGCCCCATCAGCACTGTTTGTCTGGAGTGATTTCCATCTGCAGGGAGAGTGCCTCGGTAAGCAGTTCTTCTGCGGCAGTCACATGCTTTGGGCCAGGGCTCCCAGCCAGCTGTCCCCATCATCGGCTCTGAGGATGCAGAAGGAGGTGGGGGGGGGGTGAAGACTTGGGACAGCAAAAGGCAATCTAGGAGGAAAACCAGCAAAAACATGTTGCATCAGATACCTAAAAGGTGCCAAAGTACTCCATCACTCACTTTGTGGGGCACTTTTAGGCCATTCAGGCCAGATTTGGATGAACATTTCACCACATCTACAAGAATGAGTCAAACGAATAGGCAGTAGATGGAAAGATAAGCAGAACGTGAAGCAAATGTAGTGGGCTGTATTTTATTCGAATGTCTGTAGTTGCATGATAAAACATGACAGTGGTTTCTAAAACGGTCTTCCCTGTGCCGTCTCCACTTCCACCATTTTATACGGTAACTTGGCTTCGGGCTCGTTTTCCTCATCGCGTGCGCCCCGTGCCCAGCCGTGTGGGAGGGACGCACGCAGTGATCAGTCAAGTGTAGGGGCAGCCCGGAATCTGCGGCCGCCGGATAGTTCAGCGCAAACTTTCTAAAAATGATAAAGATCTACTATCTCTCCACATGATTAACGCTGATAATAAGGAAACCTCTCACTGCCCGATAACCAAATGACCAGCAGTTCCCCCGGAAGTGTCCATAAGAGGCGCACAGACCGCATTGCTGCTCTAAGGCTGCACACCACCACCACCACCATCACCAGCACCTCCTTCCCACTAAAAACATGCACGACCACGCCCCCAGAGGCACGCGCACAAGCGCAAGCTGAGACACACCTCCTCCTCCATCACACAAACACGCTCACAAACACACACACGCACACACACACACGCTTACAAAGCCACAGGCGAGAGGGGGAGCATCGCCGAGAGATGCAGAAAACATCACGGAGGACGAGCCTTCGCCTCCGGGAGACTTGAGGCAGGTGCTGCGGGGCTGGAGCTGCGGCGCACGGAGGGAAGGCTGCCTCCTCCTCCTCCTCCTCTTCCTCACCATGTCCGCTGCATCCGAGCAACTCTCCGACGAGACGGTAAGGCCTCTCACCAAATCCGAAATGTCTCAACTTAGCAGAACTCGCGTCCTTCAGCCTTCGTTTCCCGATCGGGGTGCGTTACTTCATTCCTTTCGCCCCCCAAATCGTGTCGTCCCTGGCTCAAAGGCACCGGGTCAGCCAACAGAGGATGGAGGGCCGTCCCCGGTGCCGCAGCACTAAAATAAAAAGGGGTGCACAAGAGCGTTGGATCCACTAGTTGGAAACGCTTCAAAGCTGGATGCGCCCGCCGTAAGACCCCCGGGCGGATTTCAGGTGGATTTGCCGCAGATCCATCATTTTTTGCAAAATCCAGTAATTCGATCCAATTGTTGAAGAAGTTCATTGTAGCTCGATAGAGAAAAAAAATCGTTCCTGATCGTGTCAGACTCTGGGAAATGCAGCCCTGGTCACGTTGATCTAATGTGGTTGCGTCTTTCGATCCATAAAAAGTCCCAGTTACATGTCATAGACACAGTTCAGCGATCCACGGTGATTATTAGTCACTTTTTTCAGTCTTAGATTTTGTCCTGAGTGCAAAACTGCACGGGTGCTTAATGGTGCCCTTTGCTGTGTGCTGTAGCCATGGAGACAGTATGTGGCATGTGTTTTTAAATTGCACGGAAAGTGTAGTTGCCTCACTGAAAAGGAGCATTGGTCCTCAAACACCATTTGGGAGTGCATACACTTACGGAATCAACACGGTTTTTATATCGCCACGTTGAGTAATTGTATGTTTTGTTAAGCAAATCCTTTAGTAGTCTGGATTATGTTGGGAAGAAATGCACTTTTCATCATATTAGACACATTTTACATCAGCCTTATGCTTTTTAATGTGAAAAATTACATACAGAAGTGACTCGCGCTTTTCTTTTTATTACTTTACAATCTTATTTATTCCTTCTTTAATGAATGAATTAGAATACAACATTAAAGACAAGGTTCATAACTGTAAATGTGTAATTGCTGGAAAATACTGAAATACTGATGGAGTGAGCTATCAGTAAGCATCTTTTTTCATAATTTATAATATAATTTAAATGAATGTCTCAGTTACTTTAATCTATTTAGTCCCCTGTCAACATTTCCATTTAATCTATAAGTGGATATTCATACTTTCTTTCTCTAATATTGGAACACAGTATTTGTCCTAGATTGTATTCTTATTATCCTGACAATTAGCTATTAATCAGAACCACAGGGATGATTTCCCACTGGAGGGAGAATATTTGATAATAATACTATTGCATGTAGTTTAAACCATGACAGCAGCTTTTGGCTTTTCAAATATTTTTGGAAATATCACTACATAAAGCTTCCTGTAACTAAAAGAGATCAAACAAATAAAATCAGTTATAACCCATTTATGCGTTGTTTAAAAAATAGAGGTAGATTAGAAATCATTTTAGCCTCTTCTTTTAACACAGATATTTGCCCTTCAATGTGGCTGTGAAAAAGAAAGATATCAGTGAATAGCAGTGTCAGTTTTTGTGTGGAGCCTTTTGAACAGGCAGTATTTAGGTGTGTTGTGGAGACATGTCACGGTGATGGCTGGTCGGTTCTCGCATGATGAACAGATGGTAACTCAGGGTTGGCTTGTGGGTGAGTGCCAACAAGAAAGCCCATGTGTGTGTGAAACATAAAAACACATTGTTAGGACATTTTGTCCATAATGTTCTCTATAAATCTATAAAGAAGTAATCCTAGCATGAATTATTAATTAAAGTAGTTAAATTTATTTTGGGGTATTTCTATATGTAAGCCTACATGTCTTTCATGTTGAACAAACGAAGGAGCTCATTTTAGCTGTTTTCCTTTATCTAATTTAAGTTATTGCCATCCCTTGTCTTTTTTGCTTATGAAATTGAAACTTAATAGCAATATTGATTTAAGCTATGTTGCTCAGATCAATTGTTTATGTGTGCTGTCTGTCACAAAGCCCCCTTTTTTACTTGGTGTGTAAATAAGCAACTAAATCTGTTACATTTTGCAGTTATCAGTCGTTACATAGCATGGGCAATAAGAAAAAAATATATATACATATATATATATATATATATCATCTGTAAACATTTCTATTTTTGAAATAGAAATCATTGAAAATATGAATTTTACAATAAACTGTCTTTTTGCTTTATCTCCCTCTGTCACAGGTTGTGTTGATCCTATATCACACTAACTGGAGAGGATCGGAGTTCATTTAAGATGACACGAACACATCCTCCTGATATACTGGTATCAACTCTATATCCGGACATTGCACTTAACCCTATATCTGACTACTCAGTTTCTCTTCATTCCTCGAAGCAATGTGACTTGAAAATGATTGATAAATCAGAGATCATCAACAAAAGACACTGCCGTAGTTTTGACTTCATTGAGTCACTGGATGATCCACAGTCCTTCTCTTCCTCAATGGAGTACCCTTACAAAAGATCTGAGAATCAGACTTTAAACAAAGATCTCTGGAATGGAATAGATCAGCCAGGACATCTTCGCTTTTCATCTCCTGATCTTTTTAACACAAAGCAGTTCCAGCAGCATTCTACCCATGACAAAACCAGCTATCTTACATGGTCAGATTCCAAAAAGAGATCAAGATCTAAAAGTGCTCCCAGAATCAAGGCTACCCTTACACCTGTGCCCATCTCTGTATCTCCACAAGGGGCAAGGAAGGGGCGGGATGGACCTCATGCTTCGTCAGATACCTTGAGAGCCCCTGAAATTCAACGAGATTCCTCAAACAGGGCATTCTTGAATGAAGTGCACCCAATAAAGCTACAGCCTCACTCTCCACTTTTTGTCTCAGACTGTTTTGAAGAGGAAAAGCCAGACAAATCTACTGTAACTCCTCATGTTAGGTGTCGTGTGGACATTAAGCCAGATGCTTCTGTACTGCAGCACACTTCAAGGCAGTTTTCCAATGTGCAAAATGAACATCCTTGGCAAAGGTACTCACAGGCTAGTAGTAGGGGAGGTTTGTATGTGCCAAGGCAGATTGTCTCTTCCCCAACACCAACTCCAAGTGAATGCTACAGTGGAGATTTTAGACCAGGATATTACTACACCACCAGCATGTCCCCTGTTTCTTACCAGCATCTAGACACGCACAGAATGTCATCACCAATAGCACCATATCTGAGTCAGGAACAAAGAGCTTACTCAAATCCAAACATACCAACCAAGTTTTTCTACACAGAGGATGCTGTTCGTTACCCTGTACATCCATATTCAAGGACATATTTTCAGGATGATCGGTCTAGTCTAACAAGTTTTGGTAGTACAATGACTAGTCAATATGATCCAAGGACTCGATGGGTGCACACACTTCCTGTGAGGTCTTATTACACAGACCACCTAACCAACAGGGAACCAGCACACTCTGTATACAGCAGGCCATACTCCACAAGTGAGGCAGGGTCGTACTTTTCTCAAACTCCCCTTTCTACAGCATACTATGGAGAAGACAATCGTTTCAATCCATACCATACAGATAACTCAAGGATGTTTTATTCCAAACCAGTCAGCACTCCAGAAGAACAGTATTTTCCATCCAGATCATATCATACAGAGGGTCGCAGACGCCCTCAAATGTCCCAGGCCTTTTCAGACGACTGGTATCGTTCAAGTATTTCTGGTTACTCTAACCAGTCCTCTCAGATCACACCACCAAGAGTCAGACATGACCCTAGTATACCCCCGTGGTTTACTAACAACTGTACAGACGCAAATCGGTTAGGAATGGATGTAAAAAACCATTCTAAGTCTTGGGACAACATTCTCTACCCTCGACATGACAGAGAGAAAGCAGTGCCACGTGGAAGAAGTTATGAGAACCTATTTTATCAAGCAAGGCCTGGAGCATCCTCTGATATTAAATCAAAACCTGTTATACTTAACCTTTCGAGTTCACCAAGGCGCTATGCTGCTCTTTCTCTCTCAGAAACCTCTTTGGAGAAGGGTTACAGTAATCCATGGAGGAATAACAAGAGTGGGAATTGGTTTGTTACTCCGGAGATCACAATAACAGACAATGATTTATCTTCAGGAAACAGCAGGAGACGTGATGTACACTCTGTTAGCTGGAATACATTGGACCTTGAGAAGACCTCACCTCCAAGAGTTTTGGATCAAAAGCAGCCCTCTAACATAACGGACATTAGCAAAGACAGGAAACACAACAATTTTTCTCTCCAGCAAAGTCTAGAGCAACTAGATGAACTCTTGGCTGATTTAGTTGTTGATTACAAACCACCAACCGGCAGAAAGACAAGTGAAAATCTTTTAGACCAGTTAAAACAACTGATCACTGAAGACGACAACAAAGAACAAGGTTCCTCTGGAGTAGAAAACTTAGGAAGTCCGAACACACAGCTCCCATCCTCAAAATCCAGCCCAGACACAGCCAAAGACCCTGATAGTGGGTGTGATGCTTTACAAAGGAGTGTGGAAGAATGCTCGCCAGACCACAGCACAGATGAAGATGACACCATGGTGTGTGCTAACAAAAAGTGCAACCGGATTGAAAGTATGTTTAATGCTTGCTTGTACTTCAAGTCATGTCATAGTTGCTACACGTTTTACTGCTCACGAAACTGTCGCAGGGATGACTGGGAGATCCATAAAGAGACATGCCTGTATGGCCATGTAAGTAGTGTATGTCGGCACACTCTTAAGTTCTGCAGGGAGAACTCAGAGATCCATAAAGCCTTCTCGCGCATTGCTAAAGCTGGCTTCCTCTCAAGAGGGAGAGGCGTTCTTTTCCTTGGCTTCGCCAATCCAGAGACAGCTGACAATTTTCTGCAAGTTGGGCTTGAAAGCCTGCTTATTTCGCCAACATATTTGTCTCTCAGAGAGCTGGATGGCTTCAAGGACAACCTAGGTGAATACTGCAAGGAACTGCAGCACGCAGGCAATGAGTATGACCCAAATGAATGTTTCCTTTTGAATGTATCCATAGCCGTTGGTGAGCTAGTGCCTAACAGACCTTCACCAAGGGTCCAAAATCCGACAGTTCGAAAATATGCAAAGGTGTCCTTGGCTTCTTCAAGTCCAGACAAAAAAGTACTGAAAAAGGATAGTGAGATGGAAACTCTGATCCTCACTCCCCCTCCAGGCACACCAGACATTGACAAGGAAGGGGAAGAGGGCAGAAAAGCCAGAGAGGTGTGCTTTGTCAATATCCAGCGTGAACTCAGGACCAGGGGAGTCTTCCTTCGTCATGAGTACCCCAAAATCTATAATCAGCTTTGTGAGTTCGTAGAGAGCAACAAAAGGTTCACTCCCACCACAATTTATCCAATAGATAAGAGAACAGGGAAACAGTTTATGTGCATGATCATGGCTGCATCGGAGCCAAGAACACTAGACTGGCTGGGCACCCCTCATCTCTTGGATGATATCATATAGCATAACACAAAATAGACAATGATATGATAATGATGTCAGCTTCTTGTTGTACTTATTGTAAATACAGAGTTTGATTTAGCAGATTGAAAATTGATTTAGTGTGTACAAATGTGACTAATCTTTCTCTTTTGTCTCCTTTTTTCGCACACATAACTTTTCAAAGAAGACATACTTTTGGAGGTTTACCTGTTTAGCAGATTTTGCTTCTGTTGCACCCAGCCTGCATGCAGATGAGGCAGAATTCCAATGATCTGGGTGTTAAAGATGTAGAAAGATCATATATGAAGCACACAATATTCAGGGAGTGCACATGTAATTGCCTCCACACCGTAGTTGGCACAGCTGAATGACATAGTGGTAACCTATTTTTAATTTCTCCATTGAATGTTATACAAGAACACTATATCTCATGTTGCAGTGGTTGTAGAATTACAACTGTTAAGTATTTTAACCTTATTTCCTTGGTATGCTGTAGTTGTGTAGATATTCTTTAACTATTACTTTATTGGTAATTCGTTCATAGACAGAGATGTACAATCAAACCATGTGTTTGTTTTCCTACTTCATTAAGGATTTTTGTTGGAGCTTATCTCATCTTGTGAAAAGGCTTGATGTCAATCTTGTCTAAATTGCTTTGTTTGAAAGTGGCCTTTATTTGAAAACAAACAACTGCATTTGACACAAAGCAATGTATGGAAGTAGCTATTTCTAAAGGCTTGACAGAACTAGACTAAAGGTTGTTTGAATTACTATTGTAAATAGACAATTATTTTGCCCAAAGCATGTTATTTATATTCAGGTATTTTAATATTGCTACTGCTTATAAGTAAATGTATGATGTTAATGAGATATCACTTGATGCTTAGAAATGTAAGAGGTACAATATATCATACATTATATGAGGAATTTTAGAAACGCCCTGACCTAGAGACCTTATTGAAACTAATGCCACAGTATGTTCTTAATTAAACCATATGCAATGAAAGAGCAACCTTAACATCTATATTGTGAAATTCTATTTTGCTAAAGATATGGAGCAATTTCTGTCCATTGAGAGCTGCAAAGACTTGCACTAAAACAAAAACTATAAAACAAAAATGTTCCTAACATAGCTGCAGCACTGATCTCAGACATACCTGCTTGTACTACCATTGTTCATTAATCTAAGGTTGCCCTTTTACTTGGTCATACATATATCTTTGTGCAAGACTTTCATGAAGTTTATATTTTGTGATGTTTATAACCTCTATATAAATATGAAATAAATGGAATTTAACAAGTGACCACATGGCTCTGAATCTGTCATGAGATGTTAAAAAGTTTGGACTGGTAGCACCGCAGTCAGTGTTGAGATATGTAAAAACGAAGAAATGTAGGATAAAAAATAGAATAGAATTTTAACACAGTTGAATGATTACATTTAGCAGAATTACCCCTGACACAAAAGTTTGTTGTTTTCATCTCTTAAATACATGTTTTAAAGTAGACATTGCTATTTTGAATGGGAGTGGAGTGTTCATCTGTAGTCAGAATGTAAATGCCACAGTTTTTTATGATGGAGTGCATGACACATGCAAACAGACAGTAAACTTCTCCCACAGCAATCCTCACATAAAAAAAACACAACGGTATGTAATTTTCAGATGTGATTCTAAACTGACCCTCATAGTCTCTGTGAGAGTGCTCGCTTGTTTCCATAATTCCTTATTGCTTTGGCCCTAATAGGCAGGTAACCTATCCATTTTATGCAGTTATAATATACATCAATTGATAAAAGCCATAAAATACTCCAGTCTCTCTGTGACTCTGAACAGGACAAAGTGTGAAATTTAAAAAAATCCTGAATGCATGAATCACCGACATATATTAGTCAAGTGGTTTACTTTACTTTTACTTTATCTATAAATGTTGTACCCCTCCATAGACTGTGCTTCATGTGACAATTTGAGTTTCAAATGGACTGGGGGGGTTGATTGGCACGTTGAATGAGGAGCAGCAAACCTGATGCATCTTATCGTGTTTCTCAGTGCAATCAAGTCTTTTCTCCAAGTTTCTCTTGTTGTTAGAGCACCATCGTGTGGACGAACACATCTATTACTGCTAAAAGAAATTCTAAAGGAGGCTCTCAGATTCCATCTTACATGAATTTGATAGATATGAATATATTGGACATAAAAACATATTGTAGATTGACAGAAAGTGTCTGTTTAGCCACAAAAATCAACATATTTAATTAACTTATGTGTTAAAAAATGTTAAAAGTGATTTTTTTTCTCTTTCTTAAGTTGCTCCAAACTGAACTTCATCTAACAAAAAATGTAGTGTTTCCAATTTTAAACTAACTGTAATCTTCACAAATACAATGTTTCATGTAATAGAAATTGCAGTTTATGTTTGGGGTGAGCTAAATCTCTTTGTTACCATATGATCCAAGCTTCCATTATCTATGTCATGTTCCCTATACAATTTCATTCTGAGAGTGGTCATTCCAAGGGGCACTAGGATGGTTACCAGTATTGTTTTTAACTGAGTTTACGCCACAAAATTGAATTAACTGAATTTCATAGAGAAAACACAACAACCACCCATCTTCAAAGATTTACTCTACAATGTCTAACGAAAACTAAATTAACTGTCTGTGCGTTAGAAATATCACGAGGCATTTGTAATTAGTGCGTGCACACCGTATACGTTTTTATCTGAAACTGCATCAAACCATTTAAAAGAAACACTATGACTTTCCATTGACTATTATTGAGTGAAATCTCCCTTTAACAGAAATCACTTCCTTTGTGCGCATGCGGGCTGCGCAGGTCTCCTCGTGATGACAGCAAATGACAGCACTTTTCGCTCTAGCAGAAACCAGTCAGAGACAGCTAAGCGCCAACAAACAATTCTCTTGAATCGAGAAATTTCATGATCAGCTGTGTTTAGAGACCATACAGACCTCAAGTACAGACCAGTAAGAGTCGGTAAGTAACTCAACTTACGTTAGTGTATGTTGTTGGCACGTTTAATCTTTAAAGACTCTTGCAGTCTATGGCTAAGCTAAGGTAGCTAGCCAACTAGCCTATCGTTAGCCTGTCTTTGCTTGACTAGCAAGCGTCTGCTAAGTTAACTTGGTTAACGTTAGCTGGCTATTGCTGTGATAGCCACTTCACTAGGATGCCTACCGTGCCCCTCCTCCAAAATCAGTGCAAACACTCTTTCTTCTTTTCTGGAGCGAATGTAACATGTTAATGTTTAGTTAATGTCTTAGTTTTCTTCAGATCGGTTTCTCATGTTGTTGTTGTTATTTGATGTGCGTTCAAACTTGACTATTGGTGATGTGAAACAGGACAACCTCGCAGTCGGTAAAATATATTGGTTAACGTCAACATAACGCAAATAAATGTGTTGGCTAACATGCTAAGTCTAGCTTTTCTCTAACGTCGTTACTTAAAGGACACTATCAAACTTTATGGCTCGTCGCAGTTAGCCGCAGGTTTAAACGTCAAAAATGTCTGAGCTATATGTGCGTTTATCCTCATCCCATTTGGTTTTGACGAAATGTTCAAGTCCCAGCTTAATGTGCGACGTTAAAACATGCTAGGCCAGCAGAAATGGTGAAATTGCATTCTGTCGCTGCACATGATAAAGGTTCAAACGCTGAATATTACTGTCAGCTGTTCGTTGAGTAAGATCTGGATATTTTTGCCCCCCAAAATGATACAGCAAGTTAAAAATAAGTTATTCATCACTCGGGTCGTTTCTAAGTTTTCTATGATTAATCAAATAGTCATTCACTTAAAGTGTTCCCATGCCACTGTTTGCAGGAATAACTTTGAATTATCTAGCACTAGGAGCCACTTCCCCCCATTTTTTAGTATGTTTTTATCTGCCATGATTCTTTAAAATCATGCTTTAAAAAAAAAAAGGCTCAACCTTTTCCTAACCAGTTGTTGCCAGTAAGTGTCAGCAGGAGTGTCCCCTGCTATGTGTTGACCTGACCACTCATTGCCTGGAAACTGAGTCGACTCTTTTTTGGTGGTTTGTGAGAAAGATGACTGTTGAGTTTGCCCAAAGTAACAGACTCTTTTCACCCTTGTTTCCATTCTGTATTTACAGTAATTCCTCAACTCATTAACCACTTACAGGATCTGTATTATGAACATTATTCCAGCTAAGTCACTGTTTGTCATCCAGTTGATACAGACTCAAAATGTAACTTTTCTCATCACGTTCCATCTTTCCTCTTTATAATTTTAGTTAAATTCCTGGTGGTTGTAAATCAGTTTTGATTAGTTGTCGCCCCAATGAAGCGCTCTGGCTCAACATTCAGTTTAGACATGTCTGTTCCCCCCAGCTTATCCAATGTGCTCACATCTTCTTGGAAAACATATCAAACCAGCAGTTTCTACTGAATATATTGGGTAATAAAACATATCTTGGCCTGGCTTCGCTGGGCTGGCGACAGACTCAGAAGCACAGCTCCTCCGCAGATGCGAAGATACACGTGTACTGAGACCAGAATTATTAGTGCACTCCCATCAGCTGGTTGCATAAATAATTCCTTACTGTTGATTGTTCTCGGTCCAGTACATTAAAACCCAGTACCATTTCCTCCCTCTGGCCCTGCTCCTCTGTTTGCAGAAGGAATGCGCCCATTTTCTTCAGGATACTAAGCAGTGGTTAGCTATCCATTAAGCTTGTAGTGCCTGAGAAGAAAGTCTTGACAGTCACTTAAAAGAAAAGGGCACCTTACCTCTGCATACTGGAGAGGTAAGGTCATAAGGAAGAGCTGAGACAGAGCCAATGGCAAAGAGGGTTAAAGTCCTCAACGGCTCAGTGTATAAATCACAAACTTAGGCAAGTATTTCTTCTAATGTTAATGTCAAATATCTTTCATCCTAAGGAATTCCCTGATTCCACCCTGTGATAAACCACACATCCTGACAGTCAGTGAAGTCAAGTGATGTTACTTTGCACATGTATGCCCACTGTCCTCCTCTATTTCAAGCTTTTTGTGGGTCACATGTCTCCTGATCTTCGTAGATGGAGTGATTAGTTAAAAATGTAATATCAGGATCCATAAAGTCAGACCGGAGAGAAGAATCCCCCGCTGACCATCCCTAATCCCTGACCAAATGTTTATATCCAACATCCTAGGCTGTCCAGAAACATTTCACAAACGTGCGGCAGGTCACCAAGCAGCCGTCTGAAAGGAAAAGTCACCTTTACAGCAGCACAAAGTGAATACTACTCACTTGTAAGAAATGATCAGAAGGGAAGTGTGAAGGGGATGTGGGTTTAGAGTCACGAATGCCTTTTGTGGAAAGTGAAATCCTTGAAATATCTATAAAAAAAACCCCTGTTCCATTGGTTGGTCGGCCTTTATGTGTGTGGGAGGAGTGGGTGCTGTATTTGACTTACAGTTGCTGTTGTTTTTGCACTTTTGTATTTAACAAAACAGTTGTAAACTTTTTCCTGATGCAACTTGTGTGAGGTAGACGCGTCCTTTCTTTTTGGACCCGCCCTGCCTCTTGTCTCTAATAATAGTTTATTGTGATAATAATGCTTTCACATGTGTTATGGGTGAACAATTGGTTCTCCTGTGACTCATCTAAACAGCTTTTAGTGACTGTCCTGAAACGACAACAAAAATCCTCCTGCGCAACACACAGAGTTTCAGCTTAAGGCTCATTCACGCCGGCTGTCGTTTAGTTTCTCTTCTGCTTCAGAGTTCCCCTATTCCCTCCATAATTGTCTCAACAGGTAGCCGTGCACCGCCGATCATTTAGACGCCAGTGGGCAACAGAAGCAGCGAGAAATGGCAGCACTAATAGCCCAGTTTCTTTTTCACCTCTAATCGTGGGACGTGATTAGTTATGAATATGACTCCCGCAGAATATTTTCACAAACACGTTGATTTAAAAGTTCTCAGAACACCGTCCCGTTGGATTGTTTTGTTCTGCTCATTCACAGAAAACTTTCAGGAGCTGGATACCATATTTTGAAAAATGAGAACAGTGCAACAAAATAAACAAATCGAGTTTGTCGATTGTAAACAAACGTTATGGATTTGCTTCATGCATCTTCACACATTAGCCTCCAGTTGACTGACAGTCTGTGAAAGCAGATACACACTGGACTAGTTAGCGGTAACACAGCAGTGATGGACTGACAGAGGCCAGGACCTACTTCCATTCATGAAAACTTGATTTTGAATATGTTTTTTTTACCCATTTAATTTCAATTCAGTGCAACATGAGAGAACTTTCTCCGCTGTAAAGCACCATGTGATAACTTTGGTCTCCAGCCCCGGGCCACAGATGTTTTTGACTGTGTGTCTGTGACCTTTTAAGCACAATGCTGACCTCATGTGTACGGCTGATCGTTTGAAGGACTCGCACAGATCGATTGATGCCACAGAGGCCACGCAGCCCGCAATCGCAGATGTGCCAATGAGCAAAACGGTTTGAAAACTTCTCTGATGTAAGAGCATCTTGTAAAACAAGACCTGGTCGTGGTTGATGGCGACTGCTTTAATAATGCTCCATCCTTTGTTTGCTAGTTGCAAAGATAGTAAGCGGTGTACCATATTGCTAAATTGATAACCACATTTTCATATAGTTTCCACTGGAAGTGATTAAAAGAAGTAGATTTTCAAGCTATTAAAAAAAAAAGTCTGATCTCAATTTCAATTACCATTTTTTTTCATTATAGAATTGAATACAGTCAGTTCTGTTTTAGGCCGTTTATCTCTCTGCTCTGAAGCAGTGCAACAAAAACGTTTTATATTTTTATAAAATTCAAACTGTAGTTTGTAACTGATGTTCTCCTCTAATTTCTGATCCTACAGGTTCATAGATGGTTTTCTGCTTTAACACTCCTGATTTAAATGCATTCAACATCAGAGGTCAGGGGCAGAGCTTCAAAAACCAATCTGAATCGCGTGTGTTGAAGCAGGGAAACATCTAAAAGCAGCAGGACAGCGTCCCTCAAGGGGCAATAATATCACCAACAATAATGTCAATCCTCATCGGATGTCATGTGGAGACCTGTCTGCTGCAAAATATCACATCTGTGCAGCATCTTAGCAGCACTGTGACACGGGTTAATATTCTGTTTATACTTAATACTGTCAAAGTGTACTATTTAGTCTTATAAATGTACAGATTACAGGGAAGGTAATCATTATTTGGGCGGTGCTTCTCTTTTCTTCCCTTTGTGATAACGTGAGCTCGGGACATTTAAACCTGCAGAAGACTTATTCACACGATTCAGCCGGTTAACAGGCAATTCACACACAGGGCTGTCGCACCTGCTTAAACACCACACTCACCAGGTTAAACTCTGAACACAGTACCAGATGATCTCAGTCTTTTTACATTGATAGCTGAGTTTTCCTCCTAATCCTTCCTAACATGATGACTTTCCAAACCACCAACTTTTACACTTGATATCTTTTTTCTTTTTTTCTTTTGCAATTATAGATGTTACGACAGACTATCTTGTCGAATTCAGATCTGTATTTTGAATTTTTTGGCGTGTGGAATTCAGCACAGCGCCTGTCATTTTCCCTTTAAACACACACAACCCATTCGATTCGTCAGGCATATCAACCCAACTGTTGTGGTTGTCTTTCAGCTTGTGTGGGATGACGCTGCCTTGCAGCCATTCCCACTCCCCGGCTGTTTATCTCTGGTGTAGTCTCATTCTCTGCCCGGAGCCCTAATTCTACACTTAAATTTGTGTTTACTCTGGTAGCAACCGACCACAAAGAGGCTTTTGTGCAAAAGATTCACCGAGAAATCATTTAGATTTCATGCACTCAGCTGGGATGGCATGCTTTTGCTGGGTTTATCTTGGAAAAGAAAGAGGGATTTTTTTTTCTTTCTTCCTCTTGTTACTGGGCCAGTGTGCGTAAAGCACAGTGAATGCAAATTTGCAAAAGTATAGGTCCTTATTTAAAAAAAACATTTGCTAGATTACCATAGTGGGAGTTATCAATGCACATGTTGAATAAAAATGTTACGAAAAATGATATTATTCCCATTGATTTTGAGGTGAATTAATTTAAACATTAATCTCAGCAGGAAAGTAAAATATTGTAAAATTCACCTTTTTAAATAAATTTGCCTGTTAATATGCACTTTTAAGAAATAAAGAAATCCTCTTATCCCATGTTTAAAAAGAACGAACCCCACTGGTTCTGACACATGATGTGGTTGTTGAGGTGAGAGTTGGCTCTGAAGAGCAGCATATTTCAGAGAAGCAGGAAGCATTCTGGCAGTGCTTTAAGACGCACACAAGGTGAAACTTCTCACATCAGTAATGCAGATCTGAAAGGGGTGTCCACTAGGTCTGAGCACTGTCATGATAACCAAGTAGAATTTAATTGTGCTTCTAATATTTAGCCCTAACAGCAATTATATGCACATTCATTTACAGTTATATAAATGTTTTCTTTTATATTGCATGACATCATTATCATCTGACAGGCTGCTGACAGTTTAGTCTGTTTTTCAGTTAAAATTAGATCATATTTCCCCATATCTTTGTTTAATTAAAGCTCTTCTTTCTCTTTTTTTCTAATGGCTGGAGTGGGGACAGGGCAGGGGTCATTTATGGGTGCTATGCTTGGTAGCTTTTTAGCTGCTTTTTGTAAAAGCTGTCAGATATCGACACTGTGACCCGGTCAATCTTTTTTTGCTCACACTGTTCTACAGTAGATACGAGGATAATGCAAGTTTTTTTTTTTTTTTTGTTGGTTTCCCAAACAATGTGTTGCTGTAGGAAATGGAGACACCTTTTTCACACCACGTCCTGACACAATTAACTTTTACATTGTTAAACACAGATAATGCATCTCTTTCATTCCTTATGTGATAAGGGCCCAATGACATACCAGCTAACTTTAGTCAAAGACTTAATCGTTGACCTTTATGACTGCCATTAGTCTCTGCAGGATTTTAGATAAGCATGTGAGAGCAGTCCTCTTCTAGGACCATTTAAAACAGTGCATTTGGAAAGCACAGAATTCTCTCGGATTAAAAGAGAGAGCGTCAGTGTGTTTGTTTTTTCATTTGATAAGCAGTTAGAATTCTTAATGAAGGCATTTTGGATGGTGAAATAGCTGCATTGACTCATCCTTTCAACCCCAACCACAGTTTCCTCTTTACAGATTTGTGGAAATGAAACAAAGCCAGAGATAACCCTGGTGATCTTATTGTGTTTTATTTCTCTCACACGTATCCAAATATTCACAGTGTGTAATGCTCCAGCGTTGACATGATGGCACGTCTCACAAACTTAAGACCCTCACGGGTGAAATGATTACGAGGACTTTTCACTTCTCTTTAGTTTGTTTCCGCGCATTCACCTCTACCTCCGTCATCATGTCCCCTTTTTTCCCTCCTCCAGTGGTTTGTCTCGCTGCCTGCGTGAGCCAGTGAAGATGGTGAAGCCAGACATCCACACTCTGGCCCACCACCTGAAGCAGGAGCGGCTGTATGTTGCCTCGGAGAAGCAGTTGATCCAAAGGCTCAACAGTGATGTGCTGAAGACGGCGGAGAGGCTGTACCGCGCTGCCTGGATCGCCAAGCAGCAGAGAATCAACCTCGATCGTCTGATTCTCACCAGGTCGGGCCTGTTTCCCCTCAATCATTCTGACGCACCAGTTACAGCCTTAATCCCAGGCCTTTCTAACTGGGATGTTTGGAAGGTTTTGAAAATTAATCTTAGAGCTTTGCTTTTTCCGTTTGTACTCTGTCTGGCAGGTCTCTTAGTCAGTTCCTGAATTTGTCAAATACTAAAATGCATAAATTCTGTTTTTGCTGATTATTTTCTTAGTTGTAAAGAACAATTGGGCTAATTTGACTGTACAAAGCGGAGGGTAGCACTAACCAATACTTTTTATTTAGCCTATAGTTAATTCTTTAATCTCAGCGTTTTGCTTTTTCTTCCAGTTTAGATGTACAGACAATGTGAGAATGTGGGTGTGCACATTGTTCACAAAAATGATTGATGTGTACACAAAATACAAGCTACATCTGCCTGCATTGAATCAGTACATCAGTGTAAAAATGCATTGTCTCTCATTCATATAGTAACACATGTATCATCTTCTCGGACTGATATTTAACCCCCCAGTACCAACTTAAACACAGAAAAACAAGTTCAGCCACTCAAAGGAATTAAAAGACAAAGGCATGTGTTGAATTAAGTGATTTTATATGATGCGTATATGTAACGGTTCATCTCTGTTTCATAGCGCTGAGGCCTCGCCAGCGGAGTGCTGCCAACATGCCAAAATGTTGGAAGATACACAGTTCATCGATGGCTACAAGACTCTGGGTTTCCAGGAAACGATCTATGGGGAGTTCGTGGCCAGATTGAGGGAAAATCCCAGACTGGTTGCATCCTGCCTGGTAGCAGGAGAGAGGCTGAACCAGGAGCACACCCAGGGTGTCATCCACACAGTCTTTACCTCCCTTTATGGCAACTGCATCATGCAGGAGGATGAGAGCTACCTGCTGCAGGTCGGGGTCACAGTCTAATCACAGCCTCTCTCTGTGGGCCGCATTAACTTGGTTCATGACCTCTTTTTTTTTTTTTCCTGCCCTCTCACAGGTGTTGAGATACCTGGTCGAGTTTGAGCTGAAGGAGAGCGACAACCCCCGACGCCTTCTCCGACGGGGAACCTGTGCCTTCAGCATCCTTTTCAAGCTCTTCTCCGAGGGCCTGTACTCAGCCAAGCTCTTCCTCACTGCCACCCTTCACGAACCTATTATGCAGCTGCTGGTTGAGGATGAGGACCACCTCGAAACTGACCCGGCCAAAGTGACAGAGCGCCTCACCCCGGCCCAGCAGGAACGTTTTGGAGAGAAAGGCTCAGAGGGCTACAAGCAACGGGTGCAGGCAGCCGTTGAGGCCAACGAAGCCAAGCTGGTGGCCCTGGTCAACAAGTTTATTGGTTACTTGAAGCAAAACACCTACTGCTTTCCTCACAGCCTGCGGTGGATTGTATCCCAGATGTACAAGACGTTGTCATGCGTGGAGCGTCTGGAGGTGGGCGAGGTGCGCACCATGTGCACAGACCTCCTGCTGACCTGCTTTATCTGCCCGGCTATAGTCAACCCTGAGCAGTACGGAATCATCTCAGACGCTCCCATCAACGAGGTGGCCCGCTTCAACCTAATGCAGGTAAGCGCTGCAGCCAGCCCCGCGTGCCTTTATCTCCACATTTGAGTCTCTGGCGGCTCTAAACCGGTCGGGACATTCTTTTGCGACGCAGGTGGGGCAGCTTTTGCAGCAGCTGGCTATGACGGACACCGACCCCGACCCCAGACGGAAAAGCAGCCTGTCCAAGTTTGATAAGGTGCGTGTCAGCAGAATAATGTTTTCTGACTACCGTGCAACCCAGAATAACCTTCTTGTGGGTCTTTTGTTTGGCAGAGTTGTGTTGCCGCCTTTCTGGACGTGGTGATAGGAGGACGAGCCGTCGAGACCCCGCCCATGTCTTCCATGAACCTCCTGGAAGGCCTCAGTAGAACCGCAGTCTACGTAACTCACAATCAGCTGCTGGCACTGGTAGGTGTGGTCTTAGGCTGATATGAAAATTTAACGTTTGAAATTCAAATGTTATGGCAACATGCGAGCAACCACCTTCGAATGCCGTCCTATCCAACAGGTTACGTCCAGCAGGAGGTTTTCTCTTTGCTTTGTACATTGTTGTCCCTCCACCGTTTGTGTAAGCGGTCACCTCCTTCAGCGGTGCCACTGGATTAGTCTGATAAAAAAGCACTTTACTTGCTTTTTTTTTTCTAAATACTTGCAGTTACCTTGTAGGCAGTTGGACGTTGTGCAGCTTGTTGGCTACTAGTTCCACTTGCAGGCCTTATCTTATCACCTGTGATGTGTTGAGCTGGCTCAGGTTGTTACAACACACACTGGACATAGCAGCATGTGGCCTTTAAAAAACACCACCTCACTGTCCCCCTGTCAGATATCAGTAAACTCCAGACTCCACTTTCACCAAAACATGTTAATCATTTTAACCCCCCCCAAAAAATAAAGTTTCAACTTTTCTAACAAAGGAAAATATCCATCCAAACTATATTGGTTCATTTAATGAAATCTTCATATTCTTCCAGACTTTATTCACATTCAGATTAAAGATTGCTAACAATAATGGTGGTATATGAGATCTCTTTTCTACACATATTTGGGAAAGATCTGGAAAGATGAAATGTAAGGTGTAAAGATCACTGGGATGGATGTAGATTTTAAAACTTGGTGTTAAACCCTGACTGCATCTTGAAGTCCTGATTTGAAATGTTCACAGTCTATCCCTCAGTTTGTCATTATTATTCATGGTGAACGCTCAGCAGTTTTGCTCAGTGGTTTTAACTGTACTCATATATTAAATGACTCATAAAATGAATGCCTTCCAGTTAATATTGATCAAAAATTGTTAAATGCTGCGGCAGCTGTGGGAAATTAGAGGTTCAGCTCCAAGTATGTTGTGCTTGCTGGAGATCGGTCCCTTTTGGATGATTTCTTTGATTTTGTTTAACTTTTTTCCTGATATTCTGAACCATTTGTGTTAATGAAATATTATTAAATGGCAACCAAGAAATCTTCCTCACTACAAATGCTAACCTTTCTGGATTCTTACTGGGTCTTACTGGGTCTGCAGCAGAAACCTTTGAATGAAAAAGGCTTTACATCAGATCCATGGTCTGATTTTGATTTACTCATCATTGTTATTTTAAACTTTTAAAGAATTCACAAGTTTAAACTTTCCAAAGAGGATTCACACAATTCTGTAAGAATGGCTCTTAACTTGAGAAGGATTGATTTATTGAAATGACCCAAGAAATGCCTCCCTCTCCCCACTTAGGTGGACTTTGTTCGGAATGTGATGGCAGGGGACCATCTTCGAGAAGAAGAGCACATGGCCCTGGAAACCCTGCTGGCTAATGTGCCCCAGTCTCGAACCGTAAAGAGCAACAGCCTGGAGCTGACTCCCTCCAACACCCCCCAGCTCTCCCCAGCGACCACTCCTGCCAACAAGAAGAACAGGCTGCCCATAGGTACCTCCCTCCACTGCCTCTGAGCCTTTTGTTTTTCCACCTGATGCACTTGATGGGATTTCTTGTATTTTCCTCACATTAAAAGCTGAAAGACAATTTGCTATACTTGAAAAACCCCAATTGGAAACCAGAACCGGCGTGTAAAAGTGTGACATTTAGCCTCAAGAGGAGCTGAGTAAACACAACGAGTGCAGTGTGATAGCCGGTGGAAGTCTGTGCTTTATGGGAAGCTAATGAGCAACTTCTCAGCTTGTTATAAAGATAATTAGCATTGGCTGGATTGAGGCTCAATTACAGAAATGACAACCAATTAAATTACCAAATATAAATGAACTAATTTTAATTGGAATGGATGGGAAAGATGCATGGATTGCCTCATTAGCATTTTCAAGACAAATGATGCTGTAGTAACACTTTAATTAGAAAGAAACCACTTGTGTTGCTTCTCTGAAGTATGACGTTTCGATACATAATATGACTTCTACTTTGAATTCTGAGATATGCTGTTTGATTTTTTTTTCTCCAACTTCCTACCTTGTCCTTCTCCTTTCCTCTTGTGCTGCCAATGAATGACCAGGACAACACTTAGCCGCTATAACATCCTGGGACCCCACCACCACCGCTCTGTCTGCTCACATTCCATTAGTAACCCCTTTTGGTGGGTAGCCTGTTAGTCATGTTGGAGCTGGAGAGAGCCTGACCCTTGTGTTTGTGGTCTCACCTCGCGTCGTGTTTAATAACTCATCGAGCACCAGCACCATTCTCCAGGCTGCATAATCGCCACGCTTCCCGTTTCTTGGCACTGCTTTTGGCTGTGTGCTCCCACCCTGTCTGCTTTGCCCTCCACAATGCTTTGGCTCTTTGTAAGAGCTCAGATTTTCTTTTCCCCGTTATGTTTCCTCATTTGGCAGAATGTTCTTTTTACTCTCTTATTGAATGGGGAAAAGAAAACTTTCCCTCCTGTGTCAGTAAAGTGGGGTATCATTAACATCCAGACAGTATCCAACAGTTTTTTGTTTTTTTTAAGTTGATTGATTTCTGGTGAGTCATTGTTTTTGAAATACTGTTGGGTGACATTAAAAGCACATAATGCAGTAACCATTCTGACTAGTTCATGCAGAATTTTCAGTTAGAAGTGAAGGAGAAAACTGCTGTTCCACATTCAGAGTGAACCTCATCCCTTATTTACAAGATGTTTAAAGTTTGGAGTTTTGTTTTTGTTTAATTCAGCATTTCTGAGGTTTTCAGAACATTCCAGCACTCTTTATTTTGGGAATATTTCTCATATGTCTGAGCCAGCATTCTTTTCATGTTTGGGTAAATCACTCATGAACAATGCAGATAAATACAATTTAAAAAAAAAAAAGAATCACAATATTGGATAGATGTGAGGTACTCCCATGTCTCCATTACTCTTCCAGTTAATTCAAACAAAGAAACAAACAAGTGTTTAACTTTGTTGGGTCAGCTGTTTCTTTTCCTGAATGAAAACAAGTCTCATGAAGCTTATCATGTCACAAACACCTTTTTTGCACTCATTAGCTCATCAATATTTTTTGTTAATATTTTACCCTGTGTAATTCCGCCTCTTTTGCGACTGGTGAAAAGCCGCATAATAGACCTTAATCATCCTGTTGTTGAGGCCCGTGAGAAAAACCTGGCAATGCTTTTATGTGTGTGTATCGTTGCAGCTTAATGTGTGAAAGTCAGATAAGAATGTTATTTTCAAAATGAATCTTTGTCCCGCCCAAATGAAAAGATTCCAGTGTTTGACTTAAATGAACCCACCTCATATGCCATAACCAGGATGTAGCTTCCAAAGTGTCACCTCGTCCAGAAGTAAATATTTGGTGAAAAATCTGTCTTCAGAGTAGCTTTAATATGTCAGTCCTCCTAATCACGAATGGGAGATGCAGGCAGCACGTTGGTATGACAGATTTTCTGGCCGTTACTGTTAATTTGCACAGAGGCGTTTTTGCTGTTGTTTGCATTACAAATATAGAACAGCATTATTAGTGAGTTCAACTGTCTGAAAATAACGCCCGTTCCCTTCAACCCACCAGCAGCTGCTCGGAGCCGAAGCCGTTCCAACATAGCCCAGGAGGGGGAGGCAGAGGCCAGCTCCCAGGAGTCCCTGCAGGAGCTGATGCCAGAGGAGGTGCTGGTAATTTCTCTAGGAACCGGTCCTCAGAGTGTCCCTGGGATGATGTCAGAGAATGAGGTAATGTGATTTGAATTAATGTACTCATTTGCAGAGGAGATGATGATGTGATAAATTCAGTGTAATATTATTTCCTGCCACAGAAGGGGGGAGTAAGACCTCTTGGAGTCTGTCTCGCATTTCACGTGTTCTGCTGTCGATAGAAAAGCTTATTCCTCATGTAAAGCTAACTCCCTGATCCCGCTGTAATTGGTTCATGCTGTGAATGAGGTAATACCTCTGTCAGTTATGGCTCAAGTCAAAACAAGGCCCCAGCCAAGTATGAGTTTGTATGGTGTGTGTGTCTGTCTGTATATGCGGTTTATATATATATATATATATATATATATATATATATATATATATCCACACTTATATCCCCCCACTCTCTTCTGTCTGCAGGTTTTGAACTTGCAGATGGCTGATGGGGCCCAGGGGGACGGTAGTGCTGATGACACTAAGCTTCATGGTAAACCAGACAAAACGCTGCGCTTCTCACTCTGCAGTGACAACTTGGAAGGAATCTCAGAGGGTCAGTCTGCAGCCCGTTGACACATAGGACTGAAACACTGCAGAATGCAACACCCTGACACACTTTTCTTTTATATTTCAGAGATTTTTACTACATACTGGTTTTTATGGATATGCATTATAGTCTATTTGTTTTTTTTTGTGTGTGTTTTTTTTTTCTACAAAGACAAAAAGAATTAAATCAAAAACAAATAGTCAATATTCCATCTTGTTAACAGTTGGCCATTTTAAAGCCTTTAACTGGTATATGATAGGCAATGTTGTTGTGAATCTCTCTCACTGACCTGACTTATTTTTGTTTTTGTTTTCTTTATTCATAACTGCAGGTCCATCTAACCGGTCTAACTCTGTGTCATCTTTGGACCTGGAGGGAGAGTCTGTTTCTGAACTGGGAGCTGGACCATCGGGCAGTAATGGGGTAGAGGCCCTGCAGCTTTTGGAACACGAGCAGGGTATGTGTTTGTATCCGTGCATGCAACTGAAATCGCTGAAATCTTTTGTATGTATATTTGAGGCTCAGCCCCTCTGTAAAAAAATGAAAGTCACGAAAGATTGTTGTTGAAAGATGAGCAGGTTTAGTGTAACTTTGTTTGCGATTGTGTGTCTCTTTCAGCCACCACACAAGACAACCTGGATGACAAACTGCGCAAGTTTGAGATCAGAGATATGATGGGCCTGACAGATGACCGTGACATTTCGGAGACAGTCAGTGAAACCTGGAGCACTGACGTGCTTGGCAGTGACTTTGACCCAAATATGGATGAAGATCGACTGCAGGAGATAGCAGGTGTGGCACAGTTTGGTTATTTTTATATGTGGACTATCATTATGCATCAGAAAGAGAATTAATAGATGCAAACAGTCCATTAATTTACACCAGAAGTCCTCTGCTTTTAGTGAAATGTCATCACCTTGTGGTATTAGGGTGAAATAGCATCAAAAGGATTCTCAGCTCATGGTAACAAATGCCACATTTGTATGAGAGTTGCAATAGCTACGTGTTAAATTAATCTAACACAAAAAATCCATTAAATAGAATTAGTTAAAAAACGTTTTTTATTCATTGTCTTGTTTTCGTAATGTTCTTTTCAGTACTCATTAAGTACAACATTTCTTCTAATGCTTTTATGCAATGTCCTGACCCTAAGCATGTTTATATGTCTTTAACATCCTGAGAGTTGCAAAAAAACTCTTCCAGACTAAAAAGAAATAGCCCGCACTGTATAGAGATCTTAACCTCTTTGGTTTGTAATCCTTTCTTTAGACATAAAAGCGTTTTCAAAGCTTTTTAAGCAGTATAAATGCATAATTTGAACCGAACACTGACACCCTTCTGTGAGCCACACGGGAACCACGAAACACACTCTTCGCTTTGCATTTACTGAAGAACAATAAACTTTATGAAAATATTTGGATGTTTAGAGGAAGGACAATCCGCCTTTGGAAAAAAAATCCTAATTTTGGGGTAAATGATATGTGTCAATTTTAAGGATTTATATTATATGAATAATTTATTTGTAAATCCAGATTTAGAGCAGGAGGAAAGAACCCCTTTTAGAGTGTTCCTGTCTCCTCTACCTCAGTCTCTTTGTTGACATTCCTTGCCCTGCTTAGCTCTCTTTCTCTCTGACATTCACTCAGTCCCTGCAGTCTTATTGACCTTGGTTCCTTCTCATTTGCATCCACCATTTTTCATTCTTCGGAATATGGCGTTGGGGGACTTTTCCATCATTAAGTGAATTTACAGCGATTTCCTTATGTGTTTTCTCCAAGGGATTGGGTTATGAGATGCACATTAAATATCCATTAATACCTCATTATCCCACTGATAAGATTACCATGATAATGAGGCAGAAATTCTAATTGTTTCACTTCTTGTTGTGCCATTCATTTAATCATCCACCTGAAAGACAAGTAGTCTGTGCCCCTACCTTGAAGACTGTAAACATGGACAGCGGGACAGGGCTCTCCCACTGCCAGTGAGAGCCCTGCCCCCGCCAGCAGCGCCGCACACGGCTGCCTGGGTGCTGGCACGCATGTGCGCTCCTGCCGGGTGTGTGTGCCGTGAAATGGAAGCATTAGGTACCGGGGAAGTTGGATACCACAAGTTGACTTTTTGGTCGCGAGCCTCATTCCTGACTCCCACTCACACCTGCTAGCTCTGCTCCCCCTCACCTCCCCTCCTCTGTGTTCTTCCGCCTTGTTAAGCCTCGGCTTCCCAGATGGAGATGGAGGAACACTGTGCTGAGGACTTTGTGAGGAGGTGGACGAAGCAGTAATTTGGTAGTGAATTATGCTGGGCTTAATCAACAGCTCAAAGTCATGGCCCTGGAGGCCGTTGCAGGATGAGATGTTACCATTAACCCCTGGCCTCTGGCACAGCGGTGGACGTGCCCGTGGCTCCCGGTGTTGTTTCCTAGCCTGAACCCCGCCATGCCTCTCGGCGGGTCATATTTTTGCTTATCACAAACCGTATTGCTGTTTTGTTTGAAAGTCATAGCCCAAGGCACAAAGTGGTGGTGTTCTTAAATCCTTGAAGTTTCACTGCATCGCATTAAATAAACACAAGTTATCGTGTCAAAGTCAATTTAACGAGAAAGCATTAAAAAAAAGCTATGTGATGATACTTTTTGTTTATATACCATTGTCAAATTAAAACTGTAATGCAAAGCTTTCGGCTTATGACCAAATTCGTAAATAGTTAACTTAAAACCAGTTGATGGCGGTGGGATTAACCAGTAAGGGTGAATTTGTGTGTAAAAAAATAAAATAAAACAAAAGTATGCACGACCTTAACAAACTGCCTAGCGTTGCCAGAGGAAGTCAACTCTGTTCCTGTCTCTGTCCTCCATCTCCTCAGGGGCAGCTGCAGAAAACATGCTGGGCAGCTTGCTGTGTCTCCCAGGCTCGGGTTCGGTTCTCCTCGACCCCTACGGCTCCACCATCTCAGAGACCACCAGCGAGGCTTGGAGTGTGGAGGTTCTTCCCAGTGACTCGGGTGGGTGTACCCTAATTATGCGCACACACCCATCTCTTCAGCTATTGTCTTGATTGTTGTTCCTCGTATCCATGACAGCCCCGGACTTGTGTTCGAATGCACGCGTGCATATTTATGCATCTTTGCGACAGTGGGGGATGGGACGCCAGGTGCGGCTGCTCTGCATTCCATACCAGAAACGCGTGCATACATCTGTCATCATATTCATGTGTACTGGCCTGTCTTTCGGGGCAGATCTGCGCGTGCCAGTAAAAGGCAGCTAAGAGTTTCCTTAGAGGGACCACCAGGTGTGTTTGCACCTGTGACGGAGCTGTGGGGAGGGAAGCACAAGGACAGCAGCTGTCCTCAGTTTACGCTCAGCTTACATAGTGTCAGTTCTTTGTATGGTTACACTTCACGTGGAGCTGTTTCGAGAGCGGTCGGTACTTCATTGTTAGGCCGCTAATCTCCAAGGGCGTCATTCTTTAACAGTTGTGCTGCTGTTTGAATGCAAATGCCTTCTGTTAAACCGCACATAATTTACCTGCTGTTTGGAACGAATCCACTGACCAAACCTGGTATTATTGGCCGTTCTGTGCTCGCGAGCCTCTTTTCCAAAAGAAAAACGTAGTTTTGTGAAAATCAATCGAGGGGTTTATTAACAGTGTTAAGTGTTCCTTTGAAATCCTTAGGCCTCTGCTAATTGAAGTAACGCACTGTTTCAATATGCGCGGTGCCGAAATGACATGCATGAGTGTCTTGATTGCCTTTTGTTCCATTTGCTACCCCTGTTCGGCTCAATAATGGCGAGATCGCGGGCTTACTTGGACTAGAGTGCTTGTTTCATGGCTAGGCAGCAGAAAACTACACTCCGAAGAGCACTTCACCACCACATTACTCTTAACGAGCATGCAAATGAGCACTGCTTCTCATATGATGCCTCCGAGTTTGACCCAACAGCTCTATAGGGTGGCCAGAAATTGGCCGCAGCAGCTTTATTGTTTGTATTGGCAGTTAGAAGGCACAGTAGTGTGCTTTGTTATATGTCTTGCATACGTGCGAGCTCGGTGTAATAATCATAACGGAGGAGGTGGTGGATTTGGAAAATGACCACCATCTGTACAAAACTGCAACAGTTACAGTGGGTTTCCAGTTTTTATCGAGCTGCTTTGAGACGCTCTCTCGCCTCAGTTTTTTCATGGAGAAAGACAGTTTTCTTATCCCCTCCTCTTGGGCTGGTCTGCAGAGGCCCCGGACCTGAAGCAGGAGGAGCGCCTGCAGGAGCTGGAGAGCTGCTCCGGGGTCGGGAGCACGTCAGACGACACTGAGGTCAGAGAGGTCAGCTCCAGACCCAGCACGCCGGGCCTCAGCGTGGTTTCAGGTACAAAGTGAACCGCCTCCGCCTGCCCCCACAACTCTGTCTGCCCTTTTCCTGTCCCCCGAAACCAGCAGCCCTGTTTCTGTGTACTACTCGCTTGTCCTTTTTGTCTTTCGGAAAGTCATTAATTGAACCACATTGTTCCATTCAGGTTTAGAAAAAACAAAAAGGACAAAATCTGCGCTCTCCTTAATTCTGCGCAGAGCGGTCATGTTTGTTGCTGGGAGGGTAGTTAACCTGCATGCTAGCATTAGTCTGGATGTGTCAGTGTGACACAGAGGTTAATGTGGGTTGTCTTGTCCGTGGGCTCAGGTGGACATGCTATGTTGACATGCATAAAGTAGTATCCTAGATTAAGAAGGCAGTGGTGACATTCCTGGCTCAGCTCACAGCAAAAAAGTCCCACAGGATCCGGCCGATGGATAGTCTGCTTCTGATGATCATTCTTATCTGTGTCTTTTCCTTAACCCATGGGAGCTTACGCTACCAATTTAAAGCTCCCTGTGGGTTTGTATCTGAGAGAGACCATACAGCATAGTCTAAAGAGAAAAATATCCTCTTTTGTTTGAAAACCTTTGAACGTATAGGCTTGTGGTTTTTTTTTTTCTTTTTGTTTTTTAAAGCTTGTCGTCCTGCAAACTAAAACATTCCTTTGTGGAGGTGAGTTCTTTTTGTCCTGATTTTCATTGCGACTCTAACTTTGACGTGCGTGCGCTCCAGGTATCAGTGCAACCTCGGAAGACATCCCCAACAAGATCGAGGACCTGCGGTCAGAGTGCAGCTCCGACTTTGGCGGGAAGGACTCTGTCACCAGTCCAGATGGGGAGGAGTCAAGCCAAGGTAGGGGGGTGTCGCATTCCCACAACACTGGCCAAGCCATCACTCTGCTCTCTGTCTGGTCAAATCTGTTGTTTGGCAGGGGAATCTATCAGTGTCACTTCTGCCGCTGCCAGAAAGCAAAACCACTGTTGTGCTTCTTAGAATTGTATTTGTGATTTCAGAATAAAAAACAAAACTGACTCAAGGGTTAAAATGTATTTCCTCGCTCAGTTAGTCAAGATTGGATCCTTGTGTTGTGTATTCACTTTTGTAATCTCTGCTTAATTTACCATTCTTTTCTTTTTTTTAAACATTTTTTTATGATTATTTTAGGAGCCCATCAGCTGACATCTCCACCTTCGCAGGCTGAATCCCTACTAGCCATGTTCGATCCCCTGTCCTCAGGAGAAGGTAATTTGCAGTCTCAAAATGTTCCACAGCCAATAAGAGTTAGAAATTAGTATCATTAAATCTCCACCCTAATGTCACGGAGTCACTGAACAGCTCGAGCTGCGCAAATTTAATCAGAGCAGTTCCTGTAACCCTTAGTCCATTTACGGGACAATTTATTAAAAGTGCAAGTGAAATGTCACGTCGTCCGACCTCATTTAGCATCTCAAAGTATTCTTAGTGCTCTTTGCTCCTGCATCCACATTTTGTTTGTGGTGCAAGTAAATATTTAGCCGAGGAATAGCAGTGGCTGAGTGTCTGTGGCAAGGTGAAGGGATGACAGGTTGAGAGACCTCACCCCAGGCTCTTTGGCACTGTCCCTTCGTCCCACTGTGCTCATGGCACGGGGCTGCCATTGGAAGCTTTTCAGGAGCGAGTCTACCCTTGGAACAGGTGGCCTACCCTACACCTAGGGCTCATCTCCCACCAACATCTCTCTTTAACACTCTCTACCACATTTGAGGAATCCCCCCCCCCCCCCCTTTACTCATTATGTCCAGCAGGTTTGCTTTTAAAACACTGGAGATGCCTCGGTAGAAATAGGCACTATATTTCACAAACTGTATTATTTTTTTTATTTTTTTTAAAGTTGATATCGGGCTTTGAAAATGAAGTGAATAACATTAATAATCTTACAAGTTTCTTTTTAGCAGTGATGGTATATTAATGCTCTCCTCTTTTCTGACTCTTCCCCTACAGGCTCTGCCACGGGTACAATAGTGAGGCCCAAAGTGCACTATGTCCGGCCCCCTCACCCTCCCCCCGATCCCCCCATCCCCGAAGCCAGCGCCCTGGGGCAGGACACCCGCTACTCGCACGTCATCCCGCACTCTATGGCCCAGGTGGAGCTGGAGCACACGAAGCAGCGCCACTCCTTCCCCGACAGGCTGGTCCGCAGCCGCAGCTCCGACATCGTGTGCCCGGGCCGCCGGCCCACCAGTGACCCCGGCCTCAACCGGAGGGTGGCGGTGGAGGAGCGAGAGGCGACCGGAGCGTTTGCCTCCGGGCCGTCCTCATCGCCCAGCAAGGACTCCCTGAAAGGAGAGGTAACGGGCTGTAGTTCACCTAACGAAGGACCAGTGTTTCGATAAGCTGCTGCATTCAAAAAATGTTTGTTTCAACTTTGGAAGGTTGAGGACAGGAAAGACAGCGATGATGAGAAGTCTGATCGCAACAGACCCTGGTGGAAGAAACGTTTTGTGTCAGCCATTCCCAAAGGTAAGAAAAGGGGGGGGTATTGTCCTCTTTTCTAAAAATGAGAAATGAAGTTTTATTCTGTTTTTATTCGCTGTCCCTCTGTTGTTTGTGATGTGGAAAGACTGAGACTGAAATATCAGACTTTAAAGAGCAGGGCAAATCCAGTTTAGAACGTGCGAAAGGGAGCGATGATTCATGATTTCCACCGCATCGCTGATCGAGTTCCACTTGGAAACTGATGTTTCTTGCTTGAAAGTTGCTGCAGAGATGTGCCCGGTTCTTTTTCTCGCAGGTCTCACAAGCTTGAGATGTATCTGGACTTTTCAAAGCTAATCAGTCATCAGAGGAGGTTTAGCTGTGCAGATCGTGCGGCTGAAGCCCTCCCAGCAGTGCTGTCAGCCAGCGGCTAATGGTCATTAGATAGACATAGCTGTCATCAGCGCTGATAGATGACACATCTCTTGTTGCAGTTCTACTCTATAACCATCTCATACATCTGTCTGGGAAATAATGAGCTGTGCCCACATGGAAGGACTGCTTATTACTCTGAGATGATATTTCTTTCATAAACAATAAATTGATACTCGTAAAACAGAAAAGTCAGCGCACAAAGAAGAAGAAAGCTGTGAAAGCTAACGCTCCGGCCTCTCCCCAGACCTTTGCCCAGGCCGTTGTGTTTTGTCCCGTTGCTCTGCGTGGTGGCGCAGGCAGTTTTCCCGCAGAGCAGCGGTGTGCGCTCGAAAAAGCCAATTCTGTCTGTTGTGTTCCTCACAGTGCTGTATTGGACGGCTGAGAGTGATGTTCCAGGTAATGCTTCCACGCTGTTGTCACTCAGCTAGCTTTACTGCCGGAGCCAGCGGCTGCGTGCCACGCTGCTTTTAGATGCTGCCTTAGAGCTGTAGACCTGTGATGTGACATGGCGTAGCCTGAATTCAGACGATCGCACTCCCCACCCATGCATCCGTACAACACCCCTCTCTGTTTAGTTTTTTTTCCCCATCCGATTGTGTCCATAATACAGAATGTCGGTATAGAGATGCGTCATCCAGTTTTTCTCATGTGTTGCCAAATTGTAACCATGTGCTAATCCGATGAGCATCAGCAGCATTGTTCACATCTCTATACACTAAACGTTTTCTGATTTATTGTGGACCTTTGCATCATTCATCTCCGAAGCAAAGGTTAAAATCTCCATTTTGTTGTTCGTTTGCTTCTCTTTTCCTTTGCTCACTTTTTTTTTTTTTTGTGGTATCGTTACATCATATCGTGAAAGTTTTCACCACATCCCCAAAAGTATTAGATTCTCCAAAGTGGCTGTGAGTCAATAGATAATAGTAAAAGTGATGTCTCTCCACTTTATCTACTGTATTTGGATGTCCTTCACAGCTCCTATCGCAGCATTTAGGAAAAGAGACAAACAGGAGAAAGATGATATCGCCCAGGAACGCGTCGCACAAGGTCAGCGCCGTTTTTTTTTTTTTTTAACTTGCTTTAGATGCATCAGCTATAATGGGTTTGGTTTTAATGCAGCCGCTTTGTTGGTGCGTGGCTTCTCAGATGACCCGGTACCCAGAACGAGCACCCAGGCCCAGGCCGCTGAGGACATCCTGGACAAGTACCGGAACATCAAGAGGACCAGCCCCAGCGATGGAGCCACAGCGGGAGCGTCCTATGATGGAGCAGGAGGTAAGGGAAAAAAAAAAAGTCACCTCTTACGCACGGGATGTGTTCACGCAGTAGACCGAGTAGTGGAGTTTTAGGTGGCATCTTTGCATGTGTTCACAGATCTTTGTGTTGAGGACAATGTGCACGACTCTCCAAGAGAAGACAATCTGCAGAACATTTCGACAGACGACCTCCCTGACTCAGCCAGCCAGACGGCTCAGCAGCACGATTTCAAGTTCTCCTTCAGGTCTCGTGCTGCCTGTCTTCTGCTAAACTCTAAATCCGCTTGCCGTGCTTTTTTATTTTTCCTAGTGGGAGTTCGTGTGTCTTCGCAGTTGATCAGAATCTCTCCTTTGTATTTCAGTGATGCAAAGAAGAAGTTGAGGCTGGCTTTGTGTTCTGCCGACTCAGTAGCTCTCCCCATCATGACGCCAGCCACCACCAGGAATGGCCTGCCTGATCACATGGATCCTGAAGGTGGGAGACCTCGATTGTCTGTGCCCAGTGTGTGTCGCGGTAGTTCCTGAGGTCGTCTTATTCTCCTTTTTTAGCTTTGCCAAATTCGTATGTCGGTGAACCTCTGACCTGTTAAGTGTCCTGAAACTTGCTAAACTTTTTTTAGTATTTGGGGCAACGTTGAAAGAAAAAAAAAAAGAATATATGTATGTGTATGTATATATATACAGTATATATATATTTTTTTTGTGTGTGTGTGTTTTTTTGTAAGTGTTGTGTTGTCTAACCCTCCCTCTTGCTTTCTTTCTCTCTCAGAGAATGAGATCGTTTGCTTCCTGAAAGTCCAGCTAGCGGAGGCTATCAACCTCCAGGATAAGAACCAGATGGCCCAGATTCAGGAGACCACACGCTGTGTAGGTCGCTTCGATGCACGCACCTGCAGAAAACTGCTGGCTGCCATCGCCGAGGATTACAGGTACATGGAGAGGCCTGCAGACGGGACACCAGCTACCAGTTTGCCAAGTGCACTGTTGTTCCAGGCAGTCGCAGAGATGTAGCCTGGAGAACATTGGAAATAATCTCCCGTTTTTTGTTGGTGTGCTTTTAGAAAGCGGGCTCCGTACATAGCTTATCTGACCAGGTGCCGCCAGGGCCTGCAGACCTCCCAGGCCCATTTGGAGAGGCTCCTCCAGAGGGTGCTGAGAGACAAGGAGGTGGCTAACCGCTACTTCACCACCGTCTGTGTCCGGCTGCTCCTTGAGCATATGGAGTCAAAGATGCTTGACTTCATTAAAGGTTTTTATTTATTTATTTTTTTTTTTTTACATTTTCTCTTTCTGTACACCCACAACCTCATTGACTCTCCAGCCTTCAGAGAACAAAGGTTTCAGACCGTTTCCCACCCCTTTTTTGCATGACTCACATTGACTTTTTCAACAGACAACCCATACAAGATAAATACTGTTAACTGTGGAATGACTAAAGGTTGTTTTGGCATTTATGATCTGTGATAATAATCGTTCACCTTTTCCTGTTTGCGTTTGTATTTCCACATGACCTGCTGTGAATTGATCCACATTATCGTCTGCAGCATGACAGAAAAAAGGGTTCAGTCGGCTCACTCTGCATTTCCTCCAGCGTTCCAGGGGTGCACAGCAGCTGACGATAAGACGGCGTCCGTGGAGGATTTCCTGCGCTACTTGTACGGGGCCATGGCCAGTGATGCCATTTGGCAGTATGCGAGCGAGGACCAGCTGCAGGACGCCCAGATGGCCATCGAACGCAGCGTCATGAACCGCATCTTCAAACTGGCCTTCTATCCCAACCAGGATGGTGATATTCTCAGAGACCAGTGAGTAACTCCAACAAGCTGATTGACATAATCCATCTTGTCGATCAGAAATCTTCTGTATAAGTTTAACACCATTTGTCTTTGAATTTCACCATTTCTCTGCGATTTTTAGTATTAAAAAAAACTATCATAAAAAATGAGTATTCACCTGCCGTTTAACTGTGAGATCAATGATTGTATGTTTGGTTTCAGGGTTAAAACAGTTATTTTAGTGTCTTTTTTTCTGCGTGTATTGTGGGATTAGCTGGATGTTTTAATGCTCAGATGTGTTGATCTTTGTGTCCTTAAATGGTATCTTTTGTTTGCTTATATTTTTACTATCAGGCTTTTCCATGAACACATCCAGCGGCTCACAAAAGTTGTGACAGCAAATCATAAAGCGCTTCAAATCCCAGAGGTACCATCACAGTGGCCGCTTTTTTTCTTCCCATTCATAAAGCACCACCGCTGATGCTCAGAGATGTTGAAAGCTGATCCTGTGTGGTTGCAGGTTTACCTTAAAGAGGCTCCCTGGCCCTCTGCGCAGGCTGAGATTAGAACCATCAACGCATACAAGACGCCACGAGACAAAGTGCAGTGCATCCTCCGCATGTGTTCCACCATCATGAACCTTCTCAGTCTAGCCAACGAGGACTCGGTGCCGGGAGCCGATGACTTTGTCCCCGTGCTTGTTTTTGTCCTCATAAGGGTAAGTCCTCACTCATCTAGCCGACATTGGGTTTAATAGTTATCTGTCATTTTTGTCAACATTTTGTCGAGATTTGATCTCATCACTTGTCGATTTGTTTTTGTCAAAGAAAATGAAGAATAATCATCTAAAAATCCTCTCACAGAGCGGAGTACCTTAAAGACTGCTGTCTGATAAACCGTGTGCACATATTTAGCTTATTTGCATATTTCTGATTATAATCTGTACGCTGTTGCATGAGGTTCTTTGAGCGGCTAATGTGGGCCCATCCCCACATCTCCTCCCCTCCAGGCAAACCCGCCCTGCCTGCTGTCCACCGTTCAGTACATCAATAATTTCTACGCCAGCCGGCTGAGTGGGGAGGAGTGCTATTGGTGGATGCAGTTCACTGCAGCGGTGGAATTCATTAAGACCATCGACGATCGCAAGTGAAGCAGAACAGCCACCTGTATGGGCAGACTGCGGGGGAAGGAGCCGGTAGACTGGGAGGCTTCCCAACCAACTGCTCCCTCTGCACAGCTTAGAAAACCTGGCTGTCAGCCTGCTCTTTATTTGTATAGCTTGTACATAGCCAGAGACACTGAAACATTACAAAGTATATATTACTGTACTTGTGTGGACAAATCCAGGTTTTAGCCGTTTGTGGAAAAAGAAAAAAAAAACGGCTTTGGGAAAAAGTTGGCAACATCTTAACTTTGAATCCGATTTTGATTTTCCTTTATCCTTTTGTCTCTTGTCAGGTTCTTTTTGGGCTCCGTGTTAGGAATTTTATATACACAAAATTATCAATGTAAAAGATAATCCTCTATAAAGGGACCAGACTTCCTTGATGTAATTGCTGATTTTTTTTTCTTTTTTTCCCCCACCCTGATGAGAATGAAGGGCCTCCAAATAAATTGCAGCATGTTCATTAAATGCATTTTGATGCAGGGATTTACAGTCATAATTACCGATGGGATTTAATGACCTCAAAACACTGAGATCAATACACAGTTAATAGTACTTTCGTAAGGTTGGTATACCATATAGTTGGGCAGCTTATTTCCTAAATAGTTTACTTCATTTTATTTCCAAGCATGCATCATTTTGGACACCAGGCCCTACATATTTATATGAAATGAAATGTATTTATTTCTGTCATTCTATTTAATGCTTTATCTGATTTTTAAAGAAAAGAAAATGCATATCATACCCAGTCAAGATGTCTGAGGCAAGTAAAAGTGAACTTGCCTGAAATGCTTGAGTTAGGAAGGCACCTTAGCACTGAGTAGCCCTTAGTAGTTGTTGCTGGGCAGTTGAGACGTACAGGGTCAACTCATGCAATGTAGTTGAGGCATTTAAGGATGTATTGAAAATAGTGCCTTTTAAGGTGGGGCGCTCTTCACATGTAGTTTTTCCTCTCCTTTGTTTTTTTTTTCTCCTGATTCCGTTTTAAATTCCAAAATGAGCATTATTCCCTCCACACTATTGATGGGCCAACCGCGTCTCACTGAGAAACCTTTTGTCCGGCACGAGGGCCGTACAAAACGGCTGAGTTCCCTCGGTGCCGGGAACTTGGGCCTCACCAGGTCCTTGATTGTCATGGTTTAGTCCCTTTAATGCCCCTGAGTTGGAACAAGAAAAAAGAAATCCCTTTGGTATTCTCGATCCTACCTCAGAGTTGACTCTAATGGGCCTGTAGACGGTAGCTGTCCTGTGCTGGCTGACAGCAGAGTACTGGATCCTCTTTGCACAGATTAAGTGATGAAATTTTTGATGGGGGGGAGTTGGCCGTTGTCCTACTTTGATGCTTGTTGCGACTCATTATTTCCCCCCCTTTTTTCTTTTCTTATCTCAATCCTTTGTTCAGGAACAAAGGCATTTTATTTTAGTGATATTATACCCGAGATGCCACATGTGTCAACATGGGCAGCCTATCAAACTGTTTTGGCTCTACCTCCTCATAAGTTTAAAAATGAAAAAAAAAAAAAAAAAAAAAAGGGACTGATGTTTATGTGCACTTATTTTGTTTTTTCCCCCATTTGGCGTGCTGTGATATGAAAGTAATTTGTTTCTCTCCAGATATAATTCAAGCATTTCTTTAATTATTCAAAAAAATGACTAAACTACTTTTTCTTCTTGATATCCCATTCTTTATTTTTTCTGTGTGCAGATGTGCCACGTATGTAAAATAGTTTTTTCAATAATCCATTACTTTCCACAGTTACTGACCTGACAGCACAACACACAGTAGGATAGAAGAGCAAATAATCAACACTATTGACTTGTTACTGACTTGCAGTTTATTCTAAAGTGGTTGGTGTTGTACGTGAGTGTGGTTTTTGTCTTGTGAGTGTGTGTGAGATGCTTGTGTGACTGGTTGACCCTCTGCCTCCTCTTGCATGAAGTCATTGGTCTGTACATTCTCAATCATGATGAACTGTAGAATAGGATTAGGCCAGTAATTGAACCTGCAAGAGGATGCAAAGCTTTTCTTTGTTTCCGTGATACTTGCATATCAGAACTCGATCCAGTTTGCACAAAACAAATGTATTTTCCTGGGATCTCTGACAGGAAGCAGTGCATTTGGACATGCCCTTTTGGCCTTTATCATTTTCGCAAAACTATTGTAATTACAAATATACTGAAGTAGCAAAATTAAGCACCTGGCTATTACTCTCTCAAGCTGGTGAGAAGTCACATTAATGGGCAATTTTAATATCTTGCCAGCAAAAGCACCCAAACAAGGTGACGTGTATGTGCTGTGCACTTCCTTGCAAGAGTCTATGTAATCAATTTGATGAGAAAGCCATGCACTGGAAAATCAAGTTGCAGGTTGCATCTATACTAATTAGGTTTATGTGATGTCACTTTAATTGGGAATACATACTGCACAGATTTGATAAAATTATTGGGACCTGGCTCATGCATCAGATGGTACATCCTCAGCCGATGGTTACGTATGGGTACTGATGAATTCTCCAAATTACTGCGCAAAAAATACATGCGATTGTTTCAGCGACTGCAAATTTAGCCTTCATTGTATGCAAATGAGCAGGCTAAAGAGTCGGCCTGCTCGTCAGAGCTTTGCTGCTCTGCTCCCTGTGCAATGGAATTGAAAAGCTGAGCAGACAGAAATACAAACAAAAATAAAAAGTTTCATTTTGCATCTAACTTCAAATTGAATTGTAAGCTTGCACAACTCTGACATGTGAGGAAGGCCGGTATGTCTTTACTGTGATTAATGCATTATGTAATTCTTTAAAAACAATAAAAGAAGCAGACATTTTTCCCCCTTTGTTTTCCTTTTGATGCTCTTCAGATGCAGTTTATCTGCAGGAAATATGGTGCTCACGGTACAGTAACGTTTCTTTATTCTGGGTTTCCTTGGACAGTTTGCAGCATATGTGACTTTACGCACGGTGGCAGAAAAGGTTAAAAAAAAGTGTGGAATATAAATGTAAGTTGGTGCAGTGGAGCATTATCCGATGGAGCAGCCGCATATAGCAAGCTCCCAGCAAACATTTCATTACTGCTGACAAGTGTTTCAATGGACTGTAATTGGAGATATCCCCTAATTTTAGAGCCCTCTTTACCAAATGCCCCCTTTAATACTCCTTTTTTTTTCATCACAAACTTCTTTGTGGGGTATTTTGTGTCCCCTGATTGTATCTCTCAATTTTTAATTTAAATTCAAATTTTTGGTGTGTGAAGTTAATTAGTTCCGTAAGCCAGTGGTTACGTAGGCCAGATTTCGAGATTAGATCTTTTGGCTTTGTGGCACATCGCTGATTTGAGCTATATGGAAACTTGGGTTTGTTTTGAGTTGAACTGCCCAACATCCTGTCTTTTCATTGGGTATAATATCTTCCTCGCTGTTAAACATGAGGTAATAAAGGGCTGAATTTCTATCCCATACAACACACAAGGAGTAAAGTCACTTCTAATTCAGACAAGGTATTGGCACGGAGGAGTTTGTTTTTACGGGTAAAGGCAGACAGATCACATGAAGATTTTTCCTTTTTTTTTTTTCCTCACTCATCTGTGCATCATGCTGACATCTCTCAGCTGTTAGAAGACAGGAGCAAGCCTGAGGTCTCACCCAGATGGCTGTGGAATAACAGATGATCAGTCCAGCAGGGATCACGCATGACTTCCCGCGTTGGTGTTCTCCAGCCTGAGTCCAGAACCGGAGCCTCCTGCCATCCCATCGGACAAAGATTCCGGGATACTCCAAAATTTTTTTTAAAGGCTCGTCCCCTGTTGTGTGGAAATCCAGGTTACTCCCATTGCTCTTAAAGCAGGTCTAAACACAGAGAAGGGTACACTTCCTGGCCAGGGAAAACAATTAAAACGCATTCCTATTTATTTCTTCCTATTTTTGCTATTATATCGAAAGCAAATATTCAATTTTTTTGCGTTCATATCATCCTCATAATTGCTGATGGGGAGCAGCTGGGGGCCGGGGGCAGCGGCTCTTCCCCCGGATGTCCTGCAGATGGCAGACGCGCCATTCCGGACGCCGCTCCGCAGGCCCGAGCAGACAAAGAACACCGCGGGGACCGACAGCCCGGTGTTCGAAAACCGTTCGAACCTTCCGCATGGACACGGCCCCGTTTTGATTATCATTGCTATTATTTTTATTTAAGTTTAAAAACATATTTTAATGTCGTCATTGTTGTTTTTATTGGAAACTGAAACGCCAAATGGTTCAAACAGCTGCGGACACTTATATATGTTGACGTACACCCATATATGTTTACCTGTTATGTATGATAATTGTGCTTACTGCTGAGAAGAATCACGTGTGGCATTTTTCACTTTATACCGAGTGTCGCTTAAACGCATCTAAGAAGCGCGCGCGCGCCCTCAATTCACCCCCCCGCGTGCACACAATGCAGAAAGTCCCGTGCTGTATATTGTCTCGTTGGACTAACATGCTAATAGTGGCGGGAAATCTTCGCCGAGGACCAAAACAACACAAGGCAGCAGCACGTCAATTAAATTAAATGAGAGAGGGGGTGGGGGGGATGGGGAAGGGGGGGTGGGGGAGCCTGAATGAACCAAATGTCAAATACACATATTAAAACCTAAATGAAACAGCCGCGAGGATGCAGGCAGGATGACGAGAAGATTAAAACTCAAAGGGATACCAAGTGCCCAGAGGTGGGGATGGTGAAAGAGATGCAAATAGTAAAAGTGAGCACCACTCTCCTGACTTAACTATTTCAGCTTAAACTACGGAGACAAAGGCTTGAGACTCTGAGACGTCTGCCTTTGTGACAAGACGTTACGCCAGACGGTTCCCCATGAAAACAAGGCCAAGTCAAACAACACTGGGTGGTTACAGTAGGAGTGCATCCTTCCAAAAGGGTTGCTGTTTTTTCAAATGTGAAATTTCAGACATTGGAGTGAATTTCCTGGTGTTTTTTTCCCCCCACAGTTCACCTCAAAGGATATCAATTAGGTTAAATAGTCTCTTACCCCGGTGCTTCTGTGGCTTGCACTCCTTCCTTATATTTTGTTCATATCATTAGAAAAAAGGACAATTTTCACGGGCCCTGCTAATCACCTCTGAGAGAGAGAAAGAGAGAGAGAGAGAGTGGGTGGTGACATCAAACTGAACCGTGGAAATGGAACAGGAATTAGATGCACTTAGCCATCACATGTTAATGGCAGCAATCAACAGCCAATTACCCAGCATAGTTGAGTACCTTGACAAGTGCAGGTGTAACCTCCAACTAGCATGGGCCTCATTCGCGCATTTCCACAAATGCAACAGTAAACTCCCTCTCTGATTGAGATTTCCCTGAGATTTCTTGCATAGGCTGCAATTAAGAAATATTGTTAGGAAAATGTCAAGTGTTGATCCGAAGGGGAAAATCTCTTAAGGGCAATAAAGCACGCTTTTCATCTGGATGCACGCAAATCAATAAAGCTGTGATTTGTGGATATGAAAATTCTCATTCTTGTTCTTGCCTGGAGAGATGCCTGTGCTTCTTATGCTCGCGCCGACTTGAACGTGTCTTAGAAATCGATGCTTGTCGAGTTGTTGGCGGGCAGCGCTTTTTCCTGCTGTCCGGCCGGACGGAGCAGTGGTGCAGCTCCGTTGCATGACCCTCACTGTGAGCATGATCCAGGCTGAAGATTCGCTGCTGATGCTGATGATCTGTGTCATCGGGGTGGATTTCAGGGCTCAGCTTTGGCTGTTTCCCTGACAAGTTCCAGCAAACATGTACACTCACACACACACACACAGGCATGTATGCATGCACATGCGTTTGATATCTATGCAGATCCAGAGAGGCCAGCACCTCGCCAGGACACACTTTGATTATTCTGTCCTTGAGCAACAGGTGATGGGCTTCCCTGGATGTCATTTGTGTCGTTGGCCTCTGTTCAGAGACAGCATTCAGGACCCAGGGAAAGCCGGCTGGCAATATGCCCGATCTACAAGTGAGCTGTCCTATCACTGACATCAAGTAAGCTGAAGATGTCATGTCTTCATCTTGTGAGAGTTCAATCCCCCTTTCAAGATGGATCAAGCTCTCTGTCGCTGGAAAGAGGCTGTACAGATAAGTGTGGCCGGTCATACTTCCTCCCGGGTACGTCTGGAAAATCACCCTTGGGATACGCGCATGCTTAACAAAGAGTGACCACATTACACCATTTTGTGTTCTTTAACATTCTCTTAAATGATTAAAAAAAACAATAAAGTAATAATACATATGTCAATCTAAATTCTTATCCATAAATGAGTTTTTTTTGTGAAAGTACATCCCAGAAATCATTGAGTTGCATCACGGGTGAACATCATCAAGATCCAGTACTAAAACTTTTAAACATGTCCTGAAAAATATGTGTAGTATAATGCAACATTCAGATTAGCAAAAATGTATGAATTCCAATTCTGCCGAGATATTTTTTGGTATTTGAGATCATCACTATCATTTGAATAATGAATAGTCCCAAACTAATAGCGCAGTCCAACCATGAAGCAAACATGTTTTACATTATTTGATACATTACAATATGACCACTGACAGTCCATTAGCTTTTAAGAATGACCTGTTCTTTTCTTCCACCTTATTTCTCTTTTGTTTGCCCTCAAGCAGCTTGACTTGTTCTACTTGACTCCTGAACCATTTTAATATCAGGCTGCCATGGGTTTCCTTCCTGTAAGCCATGTCTCCGTATTTCTGTTTCTGCCTTCCCAGACTGAGATCTTAAAAAGCCAAGTGCCGTGCATGCTGCCAGTGTCCTCTGCTAGTTTGTGTTAAAGGAGGAGATCTAGTAAATGGACATTTCAAACACCACAGCGTGTTCAGAGAAAGATCTTTTAACCAGGACCTTTTTTGAAATTGTATAAGAATGTATACTTATGAAGCCTAAAATAAATAGCCAATTTAAGACTTTGAAAACTGTCCTTAATTTGTCAATTTGCATTGTAAGAATAATTAAAGAAATCAATAAAATTCAATATGCAAGCTCAGTTTTATTAGCCAACAATTACAACAGCTAGTTAACAGTTCATGTTAATCACTTCTGAAATGACATCAATAAAGCAATCCAATGCAAAAAATGGCAATTAAGCATTTATCGACTCCAGGTGATCAGAGCTGAGGTCACACACTTGGCAGGCAGAGTTGTTTCTGAATGCACGTGCGCTTTGTGCTCCTGTGCACTTTGAATACGGCTCAACTTTGCCTTTATGACAAATGTCTTCCATAAGACGCAGCCTGTCTCACTGCAGAGAACCTCTTACATGGCTTCTCCCCGTCACTGGCACCTCTTTGCCGAGTTCACAATGCTATTTATTAATTAAGGGCTTCAGAAACAATAATGGTGACGATAAAGGCAGTCCTCCCTCTTTGTCTTCTGCATATTGCCGTCAGACGACATTAAGAGGCATGTAGGGGAGGTGGAGGGGATGGAGAGACAGAGCTCCATCTCTCTGGAATGTAATCTCCCTGATGTTACATGGTGCAGCCTAAACTGATAAATTGCAGATTAAATGGCGGCCACACTCCACTTCACCCTACAGCCTGCGCCACACCCCCTTAGTTCCTCACATTTTTGCTATTCACTGCCTTCTTGGCCTGTCAATTCTGCCTAATCGTGAGAGGCACTAAAACACCAGGTCTTGACAGAGCTAGATCAAGAGTGATGAACATCTCTCAATGGCAAAAGACCTGTGCTCCTAACTCTACTAGAAGGCTCGCATCACTTATGCAGAAATCAGCGGCGTGCCGGCATCCAGAAATTATGCCTGCTGACAGGAGATGCATGA